ACTGCTTTTGTTTTCTTGATGGCTGATGGAGCAGTCACATGGGCATCTCGGATGCAGAAGATGGTGGCAAGATCCTCGACAGAAGCCGAATACATGGCACTCTCGGAGGCATGCTCTGAGTTGGCCTGGCTAACATCACTCCAAAGGGAGTTAGGTTACTTTCCTACTGCACCACCACCTCTGGTAGCAGACAACCAAGGAGGAATCTTTCTTGCAGTCAACCCTGCTCACAACCGAAGGCTCAAACACATCGACATTCGATATCACTTCATATGCGAATACGTGGAAGAGAAATGAGTGGACATAGTCTATGTTAGTACGGACGAAATGATCGCCGACACATTGACAAAACCACTTGGTGCAACAAAATTCGAGTGCTTCCGGTCTATGCTAGGTCTGGTCTTCAGTAGATTAGGCAATAACTAGTCGAGTGGGAGTGTCAGAACTGGGTGATTACGTCATTGCCCTGTACGGACTAATGGGGATACATCACATGACCCCCGATTATGTTGTAGTAATACGGACTAGATTACTCATGCTTACTGTACATGCTTACATATAGGTAGTACCATAGGTCCCTTAGCGGTATCAGGAGTCCTGAATCTCATGTATATATATTGGCCCTGTAGCACAGAATATGATAAGAGTTCAGTCGCACTTTAACAGCACGAACGCATACGAAGATGTGCTAACTTGCACTGACGTGCACAAACATGCACAAATGCACACATTTTGCGAGTCATCTTCGTCATGTTGTGTATTCATTTTTGCCAGGCGTCTGCCTTTGTGCGCTTTCATGCACCTTTGTGCACGATTCATATTGGATGTTCAAACTTGCCATAGTCTTGTTTCCGCTCCTGCATGTTTTCATTTTCACATGTACGCCCATTTGTTTTTGTTTTCATTCCGGCATGATTTCGGTTTCGTTCCAGCATGTTTTCATTTTCATCTTCCGACGTTTCAGTTTCACTCTCCGAGATTTCGTTCTCACTCCCTGAGATTTCATTTTCACCCCCCAGGATTTCATTTTCATCCTCCATAATTTCGTTTTCACCCCCCCCCCCCAGGATTTTGTTTCCACTCACCGAAATTTCATTTTTGCTCCCGAGACGAGCGCTCACCCTCGCACGCACAAAGGCACACGTCGGCACACATTGGCATGCATTTGTGTGCACCTTAGTGTATGACTTTCGCCTTGAAAGGTGACTCACTCTGCATTTTCAATGTCATGCAAATGAGAATGAAAGCCTACCCCCTGTATATGAAAGCCAAAGGTGAGCTGCAAATGAAAGTGAAAGTGAAATGTGAGCTGTAAACGAGAATGAGATGTGACATCACGAAAACGAACGCGTGTCGTCAACTTACGCGAAAGTGAAAAATTGCTGGAATGCACGAACGCGCACGAACGCGCATAAATTAGCGCTATCGCCAATCTCAACATAACGCGTATGCGAAACCAAAGATGACTGTGTGTACGATCGTGCACCTCCGCCTGCCAAGTTGTGTTTGTGTTCCACTCGATTTCGTACTCCTTTCTTTTTTGTCCAATAGCAACCTTCATACCAGACAGCCCAATGTAGACCTTGACTACAACGAGGAAGTTCTCCACGTTGCCGTAAGACGCTAGGGCCCAGGCGACGTTGCAAAACCTCTACTATCTGGTCTATATCGCGCTCACGTGACAGCCCGTTAATACGCGCGCTTGAGGGAACGACGCGACTCTTCGCGTACCGCCGTCTGAAATGGCTTAGTCAACGTCCGCTCCTCATTACATGTACATCTCATGGGCATCAATATTGCCAACATGGCACCCTCTATCAGCCGCACTCAACTTTGGAGCCTCGTTTTGACGCCCCTCGGCGAGATTTGAGGGCATGCGTCACCGAGCAGAGTGCAGGGGGAATCTAGCTTCTGCTATGTCACTTTGCAATCTTACAACTGCCGCTCTCTTTTTTGACGACTCTTGCAGGGCCGTCATCATTGTATGACAGATAACGTGTTTCAGAGGCCACCCAACAGTACTACAACGCCGCCGTCGTAGGCAATACTCGCACCATCGGAGTCAGCCATCAACAACCTCTGGCACGGTCCATGCCTTTGAGGTTCCGACACTAATAGTTTCATACTGCTGGGTACAGATAAGTTCTACTTTTGAGGATCTTAGCTCGTCATGTACTGATTTTGTGTGGCCCTATTAGCAGCTGCCGCAGTCAAGTCTAACCATTCATGACCCAGAATATTGCCTCACACATCAGCCATCCTCTCCGCCTCACAATGCGTATTAGAGCTCATGATAACGCTGCTCAAGCATAGCCGAACAGTTCAGAATGCCCGCTACAGTATGCACTCTCTGTACACTGCTCTTCCAGCCTCCTCCGCCTACGTGCACGCTCACAAGTAACGACGTGTAGCATTCCGAAATCAGATTCTGACATAATTATGGCTAAATAATTCTACAACGACGGTCCCCGGAGCAGTTGAGGCATTGGCGTCGGCGGCCTTATACCGACAACGCCGCCTCCGCCGACCACGATATCAAAGGTGCTACACGCTACATCCTGCTCGCCCCTGCCCTCATCGACATCGCCCAATCATGCTCGCATGACCTTGTACGTAGCCCCCCGCCCTCGACTGCGTCTTTATACTTTATCGGTGCCTCAACCACTAGGGTTTGTGCAACACAAACAGCAGCCACCAGGTTCAACGTTTTCACTGTGCTCTCTTCGCTTGTCTCCGCTCGAGCCTCACCTGCTCATGTGAAATATCCAGTGATTGCAAGAAAGTTGGCATTGGCGGACAACGGACACTGAGTCAGGCCAATCAGCCGCTTGGGTATGTGCTCAATCAATTATAATCGCGTTGGCTCACGTTTAATCATGTAGGCTCATGTTCGGATGTGTTGACTCACAAAGAATAACGGCCATATCTCGTAGGAATGGCCGGGGTATTGACATCCGCTCGCTGTCGCAAGACCATGAGCTTTCGATCGGAGCGCCCCCGCATTGTCTTCCGCACTGACGTTCCGAAAATGTTTCAACCATTGGCGTCGTTCGTGCCCTCAGAGTACTTGTGTACTCCCTTTCCATCCTCTCCCAGACTCGTATGTCGGTGGCAACACCGTTGTCGTGCAATTGTGCTTCCGCCAGACCATGTTTGGTATCGAAGCTGCGGAGATGTGAACGGCATAGACATCAGTGTTTGGGACGGTCGTGCGCTTTCCTATGGCGGTTCGGTGAGTGTGCCTACGACCAAACAAACGGTGGCCTCATTCTTATGTGAAAATGAGCGTGCTGGTCCAAGAATATTCACCTCTCCCCATGTCTACCTTTCGATTACTGCCCAACCTGTGTACCCTCGCCGCTAACGGTCACCTCAACGCACCTAGATTAGTGCCTGGCTGCTCCCGAAAGCTTGGAATGACACGTCCCGTTGCCACTCCAGGCAGTCGCACACACACCACACAGCCTTTTGCCGCAAGTAGTGATGTGCGGGCCGGGCCTCAAAGCCCGCGAGCCCGCCAAGCCCGGCCCAAAAAGCCTGACCCGAGCCAAGCCTGGCGGCGGGCTCAAGGCCGGGCTCGGAGCGTAGTCAAGCCCAAGCCCGGCCCGGAAGCCCAGGCTTGGGTGTACCGGCTCTGTTACTGTTCCCTGAGTTCAGGATAAGGTGAGAGAGATCTAAGATGTACACACCAGACATAATATTGATATTTTAGACTCGACGGTTCCCGCCGAGCACGATTGTGCATCACCGTTTGGTGCCTGCCGTAGGCGCGCGCTCGTGGGCTTTGCTGCGACTCGACTTATTCCCCGAGTGTACATCTTCTGGAGGCTGAATTCAGTGAGTACACGCAGTAATAATCTACTACATCCAAATATACTCCCTTTTCATAGCACCAGAATATTCATTGTATTGTGAGCAAGCCCGGGCTTAAGCCTGCGGCTTGGGCCGGGCTCGGGCTCGGCTCGGGCTCAGGGCTCGGCTCGACGCTGCCACAAGCCCAAGCCCGGGCTTTGAGCCCAAGCCGGGCCCGCACATCACTAGCCGCAAGTTGCCAGATCCGTATTTGCCCAGCCGTGCCTCCACAACACTCGCCTCAAACTAGGCTCACTAGCATGTCGCGGCTCGCAAGACAGCCGTCGAAGCCCGTCGCCGGCCCCTTCGAACACTAACAATGCAAGCTCCATATTTTCTTGAGATATTCAAAACGCAAGGAATCAGTGCTTGCACTATCATAAAGGGGCAATGCACGTTTAGCGTACGGCCAGCAAAATTTCAGGCTATCAAGTTACCTCGGTCGCAAGTGAATCGAGCTGCTAGCCCCCGCTGAGTGCGTCGGAGAGTCCGCGCGAAAAGGACTCTCAGGCGGGATTGCACGCGTAAGGTACGGTGTGATGCGTCTTTGGATCTGCAGCCGCTAATCCGTCCATGACTGTCGACTACTTGCCCAAGTCTATTCTTGGACATTGGACAAGCTGAGGGTTGATTAATGATTCACCAAGCGGACATGGTTCTCCTTCAGTTGACGCGTGGTCCTTTAAATAAGGGGCACCGCAACGCGACGATAACGCGCGATGTGACCAGAGGGAACTAAGCTCTATGATTACGAGCGGTGATTGGACCTTGTGCTATCCGTCCGTTAGAAGCACATGCTCGCACGAGCTACTGAACTAGTGCTCGAGAACTGTCTGGATATATGTAAGTATCTACGCATACTAGAGCGAGATAAATGAGGGAAGTCAGAGCTTCACTGCCCCCCCTCCCCGCGTGACATACTCCAGGGCCGCAAAATTGCAGTGGGAAGAGCGCTTTCCTAGAAGTCGTCTTCTGCAAATGGCTGTCAAAATGTCCAGCCGCAGTATGCTCACTAAATGCTGGATCAGCCACTTCAAGGAAGGCACGGAGGTTGTCACACGGCGTGCTACATGAGCTATGAAAACTCTAGTAGCCAATGTCTTCGCTGAGACTGCGGAGATGCATCTCAGGCTAGCAGTCAAGCGACCAAAATATTACCAATGTTGAGCACACACCAAACACCACATTCGTGTAGCTGAATTTCGACGGGTGGTACAAATACAGACGCTTTGGGAGATTCAATCACGTCCCCGATACCCCACCAACATTTCCGAGCTGCCGACTCCCGATTGCTTCGTGTCAGCGCCGCGCTTGAGATACGATCCTACTCATGAGGGTTACTGTGCAGCATCAGTGCAGTGATAATACATCAGTGGTCACCACTCACCTTTGCCCCCGAGCGGAGTGCCCACCTGCCACTGCCCATAATAGTGTCCGGGGGATCCACGGCGGTAGTAACAGTCCCTGTGATGACGGCGACGGCGCCATCGCGGTCACAATTAATGTGGACATCGGCTCCGACATTTCCAGTGATCGTAACGCGGCCGGTCATGTCCGACAACTTGTCGTAGGTCAGTGTCGCGCTGTCGCACTTGAAAGCGTCAACTATGTCGTTCGTGGTAATATCAATGACATAAGGATCCCCGGCGTCGGTGGTGAAATTGCCTTCCAACGAAGCGGGGCCGGTGGTGTGGATCTCTCCGCTGGCGGTAGACGACATGGTTATCGCGCTCCTGCAGGGTGACAGTGCACGTAAGTGTCTTGCCGTTTCTAACTGTTATGCGAATGCAGTATAATTACTCACGATGTGCCTTTGATACTGAGACTAGCGACGCGAAATAGGCCTTCGATACTACTAGTAGCTTGTAAAGTGGGGAGTCTAGGGCTTTATATATGATCTGATCTGTGACAGTCATGAATCTCACGACAAATGGAGAGCGAGTGATGCATGGGACAGTCATACAAGAGCTCTCACCAAGCATTCTTCGGCCTCTATTGGGCATGTATGGAAGCTGCAGAAAAACTGCGGGCACACATCGATCTGTCAAAGAAAGGCCTGAGAAAAAGGGCAGTGGGACAGCTGCACCGGAAACAGAATCTCACAACTTACTGCTGCCCAGTACAGACAAAATAGAGGCATTTGATACCAACAAACGGCTCTTATAATTTCTTGCAGAGCATTGTACTCCATGCCACGGAGAGAGTCAGACAAGTATAGAACCGACTATGACATTCGGATTGCCGGTTCAGAGATCTAAAGGATATGAATTTTCAGCATGCAAGCCCGACATTTGGTGCGAGCTGCTGAGCAGAATGATTATTTGGGTGAAGAAGGAATATGATCACGCTCCTTCTGCCGAGAGTCCATCCGCGACGTTTTGGTAGGTATGACCATCAACGACGAATGTCGAGGACTAGTACTAGTCTGACGGGCTATTTCTTTGATCGCATGCATGCTTGCGGCCGGAGGCTCTAGTGCCGCCTTCGATCACGCCGCTCATCACGGCAAGAAAGGTCTTCATACGCTCTCTACCGAATCGCAAATTGATGAATTCGCGACAGGAACGCATGGCTACAATACTGAATGCACCGCTGACACACGAGCGATTCGGCGACGGCTAGCTGCACAAACTAGTGCGGTGTGTCCAATTATTAACAAAAGTGTTGGAGATAACAAGGCATGCCCTACCTACCTGCGGACATCTGCGAACAAAGATTCCTTTGGAAAAGTCAATGGCGCTACGTGGGAAGGCTGCAGGGTTCCGAATGCTCACAGCAGATACGCGATGCCTTGAACCCTGCGTATCCGAACTCGCACCCACAGGTCTTCTTAGAATCGAGGAACAGATTCGGAGAGTACCAATCGCCGGAAGACACAGGGAGTATAGATCTATGGAATTCCTATTCAACGGCTGGAATAGCTGCCAGTACGTCAGCTGTCCTCCGCTTTGTATGCATAATTGCCACTGGTGACAGCTCGCCGCTGCACAAGTGCTCGGCCGCCATGTGAAGCCTTGAGCTATCAAGCTTTAATTCCATACCATATGGGGGTATCATAATTGTACTTGAGACTGTTTTGGTGTTCTTACTCTACTGCCTTGGAGGAATGGTAAAACGTACAGCAGTATCGTTCCTTTAGCCGCTGGAAATTCATCGCTGGCGACCTCGCAGCTCGCGCTGGTCCAGCACTGAAGACCACCTCATCTCTCTGTGATTAAGACGGGGCTTAGACCAGGGCGCAGTCTCTTATTCTCCGCTTGCATCCACGACATGTCTGGAGATTGATATTAGTTTTGTAGCTTGGTACGTGGTATCGCCCCCATTGACGGGATTTTCCGAAGTGCAGCAGGCGCCCGGATTACCTCAGCATCCCTCGGCGGTGTGCCGAAGTCCCCGGGGTAACCTGGGGCCGTCAACTCTTTCCATGTAGATGCCAAAGCCTGCACGAAGCGAAGCTAGTGGTGCACCGGATGTACACACTCAGACTAGTCTCTTTCGGAGGTTTTCGCTAACGCTACGGCTGTATTCCAGCTAGGCCTGTACCTATTGTGTTATAGGCCGAACCTTCATCTGATGAGTATGGTCAGACGTTCATATGTTTTGACCTCGTCTTGCTCCTGCTCCGCCATTCCAATGTACTAAGACTTGTGTGTCTGCACAGCAAGCTTGCCTCGTGCCGGCCAAAAGCTGCTTCCATGCACGAGTATATCCATAACGACGCAAATACACAAGTACCTCCCGTGGGAGAGAAACTGAAACCGTCTCGGTGCATAGCAGCCGAGCACTTGTAAGTCGCTCCTAGTAGCAATCGCGCGCACGAAGCAAAAGCAAGATGACGTAGCTAATTCTCAGCTATTGAATAAGATCCCGGAGATCTACAGTCTCCGTACCTTTCTGCGATTGATGCTCTTCGGATCTATTCCTCTATTCTGAGAAGACCCAACAGGCGAGGTGATATCCGTAGGCGCGAACTTAAACATGTGCAGGGTTCAAAAGATAACGTACAGTCTATCAGCTACGAGAATTTGGCATTCTTTGGTCTTCCCACATAGTGTCATTCTTTGTGCGGAGGAATCTTCGTTTGCAAATGTCGGCAGGTAAGTGATACGTGATGTCGAACCATGTCGTGTTATCTCCAGCCCTTCCGATGATAATTAGACACACCAAATCAGTTTGTGCAGCTATTCGTCGCCGAATCGCTCGTGTATCGGCAGTACGTCTAGCGTTATAACCACGCGTTCCTGTTGCAAATTCGTTCAATTAACCCGGTTCTCGGTAGTGAGCTCCCGACGAGATTTCTGCACGAAGGCTTTCCTGGTGGCGGTCAAGTCTGATACCAACGTCACCTGCCTCAAGCATGGGGGTCACGAAACCGGCCGGCGACCCATTAGACAAGTCCTCAACGTTCGTCGTTGATAGCTGATAGCCAGAGCGTAAGTCGCCGCGGATGGACTTCCGGAAGAAGTACTAATTACGTTCTTTAGTCATCCAGGTAGTCTTCCTGTTTAGTAGCTCATGGAAAACGTGATGTTTGTGTAGTGAGTATTCCATGCTTCAACCGTCCGAACCTGCACTTCACGGTCGATTCTAACTCGCTCCGTGCCGCGGATTACAATTGAAACCATGCAGAGATTTATGAGAGTCATTTGTTAGCCTTTCGACGATATCAAACACCTCGAGTGTGTCCGTACTGGGCAGCGGGAAGTTGTGAGATTTTGTTTCTGGTGCAGTTGTCTCACTACTCTTTTTCTCAGGCTTTCTTTGATAGATCGATGTGTGCCTGCAGTTTTTCTGCAGCTTCCATGCATGTACAATAGAGTCCGAAGAATGCTTGGTGAGAGCTCCAGTATGACTGTCCTGTGCGTTGCTCTCCCTCCGTCTGACGTTAGATCCATGACTGTCAAAGCTCATATCATATATAAGGTCCTACACTCCACACTACCAGCATCGAAGACCCACTTCGCGTCGCTATTCTCAGTACCAAAGTCACATCGTAAGTAATTACACTGTGCTCGCATAACCCTGAAGACGGCATGACACTCATGTACACTGTTGTCCCGCAGGAGCACCATAACCATGTCATCTACCGCCGGCGGAGAGATCCACACCACCGGCGCCGCTTCGTTGGAAGGCAATTTCACCACCGACGACGGGACTCCCTATTGTATCGCCATCACCACGAGCGAGACCATTGACTCCTTCAAGGTCGTCAAAGCAACGCTCTCTTACACCAAAGAGACAGACATGACCGGCCACGTCACAGTCAACGGAAGCGTTGGAGAATATGTCAAACTTACTTGTACTCGCGAAGGCACCACTAACACCGTTATCACTGGGAAGGTTACTGGTACTGGAGTGGATCCCCCTGACACCATTGTGGGCAATGGCAAGTGGTCGCTGCGCGCGGAGGCTGAGGTAAGTGGTCACCGCTGATGTATTATCGCAGGACTGATACTGCGCAGTGATCCCCATAGGCAGGATAGTGTCCTGTCCCCTCCGGCAGCGCTGGAATCATGAAGCTGATACAGGGCGTCGGTGGCTCAAATCTCTCGGTACTCTTGTATTTGTATGTAGTAACTACCCATCAGATTATTGCCATATGGTATGTTAGGCATCTTATTGAGCTCATGACGTACGTTTTGCACCTTTTCGGCGTCTTGGACAAAATCGTTCGCCTCGCACAACAACGGAGATTCATATCAATCTTCTGAAATAGCTTGAGAGGCTAAGACAATGATATTCAATGCCCACAGTAGTACAGATGCCGCCTTCCCATTTGTCCCACCACCAGTGCTCTGCATGGATGTCTGCGAAGAGTTATTCTGCTCAGTAGTGGATGCTAGCTTACCAGAAGAAGCGGGGCCGATCTGCCTATTCTGCTCGATTGTTGATTTGTCCTTTCGTTCGTCCTGGACTTCCGGAGATCTGCTTCATTGGTCTCATTCTATATCGTCAGAGAATTCACCGGGTATTTCGCGGCGCGCAACATCACATGCCAAAATATACCTCACATTTTTGAGCCTCCGACAGGACTGTAACTGACGTGAGTCTTCTTTATATAAAATCTCTGGGACTTGACAGATTGCCTGGCTCGATGAGGTTTTCTTGACCGGAGAATCTTAGCGCTGCGGAAGAAATTGGCGGCCGGTGTAACTTACTGGTGTTGGTGGACAACGCTCATAAGTCATATGCATAAGGCCTCCCAGTGAGAATCCCACCTATCCGGCTCGACTCGGACCTACCAAGGTATACGGGCAGGGGCCGGAGGTTACCGATACCTACCCTCTTCGCCCTCCCGTCTTGGTTTCCTCTTCTCGCTGTCTTCTTTTCTTTGACCATGTACTTGTACCTACTCTCTTCCCCCCAATTATATTTATTTGTCATCTCAGTCTGTGTCTCTCTAGGACACTTGTATGCTCTTGGGGCAGTGAATGTCCTTCGACGCTTCCAACATTTCTCTTGTGTGTCCGTGTGCCAGGCTGCCATATCTCCGTCCACAACACCGCTCCCTCCGGCCCACGACCCCTCTTCGGCAAAGCATTAGCGAAATCAAGGATGATCATGAACAGGCACGACATTGAGCTCGTCGAACGTAGGAGAAGTCGCGTCACCCGCGCCGACTCCGCATTCTCGCAACTTCCCGTTTGTCGTCTCTTATTTAGCTTTAAAGTAACATGAGCCGACATCTCACATCAGGGGAGCTGCATATCCAACATGTCCACGTCCCGCTCATTGACTTACTTTGACATCACCATCGGCGGTCAGCCTGCAGGTTGTATCGTCTTCCAACTGTACGATGACACCGTCCTGAAAACTGCCGAGAATCGTCAAGCCCGCGGTGGGAATTCGGAAATTGCATATAAGGGCCAAGTGGAGCGCCGCGACTAAGGTTGGTTTTGTGCTCGTATCCCGACATCTCTCACCTCTACGCCCATCCTACACACCTTGACATGCCTCCCCGTGAGTCGCTCTTGCGTGCTAGGATGGAAACCGCGCTGACAAACAGGGGTCAGGCAGTCAGAAACACGCTGCTGCTGAAGCCGAGTCTTGCACAACGCGCTCCAAGGTCGCGAAGACCGACGCGCCAGCAAACGGCAAGGCTGCCGCAAAGAGTGCAAAGAGGGGCTCCAAGGTGCGCAGACCGCCTTTGTCCGCATCGTACCAGTGCTGAGTGCGCTGTAGGCTTTGCTGGGCGCTGCGGCCTTCAAGGCGAAGGCTCTCCCGACCCACGTGAACCTCACCCACACACCGCCTGTCTTGGTAGAGGATGCGAAGGACGTCGTACAGACGGACCCGGGGTTCATAGTTCAGACGTCACTGGCGCCGACGGCGTTCAGTACGGGCAGCTACAGCTGGAAAGGCACGAAACGCGTCACTATCGAGCTCGAGAAAAACGAGACGGGAGGGAAGGAGAAGGAGCAGGTCATGATGACGTGCGTCGGTGCTCGTTTGTCTGGTGGTCGTGGTGCTAACCGTGAGTGCACAGGTTCAACGCGACTGTCATTGGCAGCAAGAATGCTGTCCTGCTGCGCGCTGTCGCACCGTCTTCGAGGACCAGGGTGAGGTGGCGACACGACGCCTGCGCGCGCTGGACGACCCCGTGGCAAACGCAACGGCTGACATGCGGACCAGCATGGTTCCGATGCAGCATATGCTGAGTCCCAAGGTCGCCGGCACCGCCCGGCCATCATTTGTCTCGATGCACCTCGAGGAGATGGCGCGCGAGGGCACGCGCAACACCGAGGCCGGCTCGTCGCACTCGGCAAGGATTCCCAGAACGACTTCGTCATCTCGCTCGGTGGCGGCGACTTGATTGACAAGAGTGTCGACTTCGTGCGCCGCATCCTTACCGTGCTCCGCGACTTTGCCGTGCTCCGCGACCTTGCCGTGCTCCGCGACAGTGGGCGCCGTCCACTGCCGCGGTGGCATCGGCCACACCAGCGTCGTCATCGGCTGCTGGCTCGTCGCACAGGGTGGTAAGCGCAGTTTCTTCCTCAAGAAAACTCAGACAAAAGCGGCTAAACAAGGCCCCATTATTCCTCGATTCTACGCCGATGCAAATTGAGGAGAAACCGGTGCAAAACCAGCCAAAAGGGTCTAAAACACAGTAAAACTGGCGGAAAAATGAGTTTTGCCTTCGGTTTTTTTCAGGTGAAAACCGGATAAAGTTGGGGCCTTGTTGGATCAGTTTTTGGCTGATTTTACGCCGGAAAAAAGTGCGCTTACCACCCAGTGTCGAGTTCGGCGTCGCACACGATGGCGCCCACGCGCTCAACCACAACCGTCACAGTTGTTATCAACCACCATGTTCTATCTTCGTGCCTGAAGGGCCTGCTCTTGAGGAGCTCTGCTAGAAGGTTGGTACCTGTGTCACAAAATAATCGCTCAATTGGTCAAATCCAACATCCTAGCCAGCAGGACTCTGCGTGCTGTCGAAACCGCGCTGCAGCTGGACCGACCCATCTATCACTGCCCCCTCAAGCTGAACGTCGTGCTTCCGGTGCATCCCAGCATGTGGATGCTAGTCAAGCCTGTGCCCTTAGTGCTAAGCCTCGTCGTCGTTGAGTATCTCAGCGTTGCCAGGTTGCGGGATCCGGACAGAAGAGCGAGCTTGCGGGGCAAAGTTTGGAATGCAATAAGTGCGCTCGGTGGTCGTATCGTCTTTACGGTATCAAACTTGACAATCAGCTCGATGCACAGGGTCATACTCGACGTGGTGAGTCCCACCAGTATTCTCGATTCGTCTCCGCTAATGCAATCCCCACCCAGTTCCGTACTGTTTGCCAAAACGTCCATGTCGGCAGCGTGTCCTACGTGACACCGGGGCCCAAGGCAATGCACAACGCATCGACCGCCCAGGAAGTCACCATCATCACGCCCACCGCAAAAGACTTCGAACTTCGCGTGCGTCCACCCCCGTCTCTTCTGCCCGTGCGTACCCCTCAGCAGCGTGTCCCTAGCAACGGAATGACCTGCTCGATGCTTCCCTCTCCCGTGTCGGCGCACCTACTGCTGTACCTCGACTTCGAACTTCGCGTGCGTCGCACACGGTGGCGTCCACGCGCTATGGGGATCGTCGCGGTCTCTCTGCACTGCGCCGTGCACCCCCCCCCCCCCCCCCCCCAACGTTACTCCTCCCGCGCAGTGCGCAAGGCACGACTGTCATCCACAACCATCCTTCGTTCTTGTGCCCCGAAAACTCACTCGCACACACACTAACGTGCACAAAGATCGCGTCCGCACTCCGCCGTGCGCGCACCCCAACGCAGTTTTTGATTGTTTGTGCACGCCATGGCATTTATATAAGTTCAACAATCTCGCAGCTAAGGTGGTGAGCGTAATCATTCATAGCAGAGTTGCTCGTGGTACTAACGGGAGTGCAGAAGCGATGCCTGAATTGCACGGTGGCAAGCACAATGTAAAAATGGTAGGTTTACTCATCTTCACATCGTCTCACGCTAACTTCCGGGTAACAGTGCAAGTCACCGCATCACATGCTAGAGGAGCCGCATAGAGGAGGATATTTATGGGTATATACAGTGAACGATGTGCTACTGTACAGGATGTAGAGGAGAGTCGACCTGGGTATGTGTAACAGTGAACAACGGTATGTGCAGGTGTACTGTAAATTACGCAGATGAGAGAACCACGCAGATGCGGGTGTCCCACAGCCCAATACACCTACCGGGGTCTACCGAGTCGAGCGGAGTAGATTTGAGTGGACGTGCTGTAAGAGAGTATTCTTACATAGGCGTCTAATAAGTAACTAAATGTACATAAAGCCTGTAATTTACAAGGTAAGCTGTCAGTTATTCATGTGGCAGTGCCTGACTACCGGCGTATATCTGGGAACATCCCCTTCTTCCATGCAGCTGAGTGCCGAAGTTTGTCAGAAGCCGCGAAGCACCAAGTGAACGTTCGCCAATGCATCAGCAGTAATTACGCGCATGAAGCAAACGCTGAATGACGTACCTGATTCCCATAGGACTTCCGGAGATTCATACTCCCCATATCTTCCGGCGATTGATACTCTCCGGACTGATTCTTCGGTTCTGAAGAGATCCAGCCAGTGTCACCAGCGGATACAAACACAGACGCATGCGGATTTCGGCCTGAGGAGACCGCTGCGGGTGCTGTGAAGACTCGGCATTCCGCGGCCTTCCCATACAGTGCAAGCCTTTCCGCAGAGCAATCTTCTTCGTTTGCAGATAATAATTGGCAAGCGCAGCGGCATGGTGCGTTTATTGACCGCCCTTCTTTCAATCGTCAGATGATTCATGCGAGTTTGCGTGAGCAGATGGCCGGTGCCGGATCGAGATCACTCGTCCTGCGTCGTAATTGCGCGCCCTTGTCACTGACTACTAGTTAGCTCGTCGTTTGGTAGCGAAAGCCAGAAGACTCTCCTTAATGCGGCCAAAGACGTACGGTGCTAAAGCTGTCAGCCGCAAGCATAGGGATCGCGCGGCCGGCGACCGAAGGTCCATCGGACGGATCCTTGGCAGTCTTCGTTAACGGCCAGCGCTCAGGCCATTGTGGCTGGGCTTCCCACCGAAGGGTTGTAGCCATACTTGTTCAATGCCCGAGTGGCCACCTGCCCATTCGCTCACACGAGATGCGAAGCTTGTGCAGGTGAGTACTCCATGCCTCGATCTCTCGGGCTCATACTTCGAGTCCAGCAATCGAATTTAGCCTTATTCGGCGCTCTGCAGTATAGAGTCCATTGAGGACCTTTGCCGGAAGCTGTGCAAGCCGTTTGTCTGAAGGCGGCGTTATCAAGCGCTGCGACTGCATTTTCAGTGAGCAATTGTTGATCTTGGGGCTCCGCATTTAGTGCTATTCTCTCGATATCCTTAAACTTCGCAAGCCTTTTTTGACAGATAGATGTGCCTCTGCCTTCTGTCTGCAGCTTCCATGCGCCCAATAAGTACCGAAGAATGCTTGATAAGGGCTCTGGCATGGTCTCTGCGCGCGCTATTCGCTCTCTATTTGACATGAGAGTCTTGACTGTCGAGGTTCAAAGTGTACATAAGGTCCTAGACTCCACTTTCTACTCTGCAAGCCGGCGTCGAAGGTCTAAAGTTTGCATCACTAGTCTAAATATCAAGGTCAAATCGCCGGTAAGCTCATCGTATCCATAATACTTGAGAACAGTATGGTACTCATGTCCACTGTTGCCTCACAGGGACATCGTGACAATGACATCTACCGCCCCTGGAGAGATTCATACCACCAGTCCCAACTCGTTGGAAGGTACCTTCTATGTCGGGCAGGACAGGCGGGGATATGTTATCTCCATCACCACAAACACCACTATTCCGAGTTTTGACCTTGCCAGTGCGATACTGGCCTATGATAAGGAATCAGACTTGACCGGCCGCACCAGTGTCACCGGAAATGTCGGAGGGGATCTCAAAATTTCACTTGAACACAACATGACTATTACCGGGACCTTTACTGCTGGTGGCGTAGATCCCCCTTGCGGTCTCGCGGGCAGTGGTAGATGGTATCTACGCGCGGAACAGGAGGTGAGTCGTCGTCGCCGACTTATAAGCATAGGGACTGACGTCGTGCAGTGATCTTCATGAGCAGGGTGGCGTCTTGAGCGCGGCGCCGGCGCCATGGAGCTGGTAGCGTGGAGTTGGAGACATGGAGGGGTGTCGGCGGCGCAGTCCAGTCCTCTCAAGCTCTTGAACTTGTACTGCCTGCTGTATACGAACGTAGTGTTCGATGTATAATTAATGACGCTTTATCATGGCCAGAAGTGAAGACATCAGTCGCCTATCAATACCGTAGCCGGATGTTTCGACAGCCTCAATGAAGACAGCCCCTCACTGGCATAGAGGCAGGGATAGGGCTCCTCGCACCGTGGTCCTCCGACATACTAATGACACACAGATAGCATATGTTGCTCGGGGAACAGTAATCTGATACGTCTATGATAAATACCTAGAACTCATCCTGAAACACATGTAACGAACCTCAAGACATGTCTCAGGTGGTCTATCTCCAGCCAGTCCTTAAAGTGTTTCGACCGCCAGCTGAAACGCCACCGTGGTCCCATTCGGTGAATTAATAGCCATCCTCTGCTTCGGTTTCTGGCTAATGAAGTCTACGTTGAAGGGTATCGCCGAGCTGTAAATTTTCAGCCCCCATGCTATCACCACCGCCAACAGCTAGCAATGGCTGAAATCCATCAGCCCACTGGCAATGTGGGAAAGATGCGTTGACGAAGGGAAAACTGAGGGCAAGGCTCGAGGCGCGGAGCCACGACGAAGCTCTTCTACACACGAGAGTCCCCTGAAAGAATCTCCTGGTCAGGTTTCATCGTGATCTCGGCCATGGCGCTCCTCAAAAGCTACACTGGATTCGAGGATTCAAGGCTCTGCATGGCAGCTGGGCGCTGAGCACTTGTGACTCGTGAGTTGCCGCCAGTGACAGACATACGCATGATCCAGGAGCCAGATGGCGTATCCGATTCTCAGGCACTGAATAGGACTTCCGGAGATCTATGTTCTCCGTATCTTCCGGCGATTGATGCTCTCCGGATTGATTCTTCGATTCTGAGAAGATCCAGCAGGCGATTCATGAGTCGTAGGTGCAAATTCAAATATATGCAGGATTCAAGATACCACGTACGATATACTGGCTGCGGGAATTCGGCATTCTGCGGTCTTCCCACATAGCGCTATCCGTTCTGCGGGGGTATCTTCGTTTGCAGATGTCGGCAGGTGAGCGATCCGTGTCGTGTTGTCTCCAATCTTTTATTGATAACTTGACACACCCTACCAGCCTGTTCGACTGTCCATTTCCGAATCGCTTGTGCACCGGCAGTGCATCAGGCACCAATGCCACCAGCTGCAAGCACAGGCTGATAAGTTCCGGGTGTTCGTTGTTGACAGACAGTGCTCAGGCCGCCGTGGACGGGTTTCCTGCAGAAGGACTATAGTTATGTTCTTTTGGCACAGAGCGGCCTTCCATACCCTGTAGCTCGCACGCAATGTCAAAATCGCGCAGTGAACACTGCCGTGATTCGAGTTCCTGAACTTGCCCTTCGAGTCTCACAGTCAATGTTCGACTTATCTGGCTCGCTGTGTAGCACGGGGTAAAGTGAAGACCTTTGCTTGGGCCTGCAAGAGCTGATTAGTGGCCCTGCATCTGGCACCACGAAATTTGCGTCCGCATGCACAGTGAGCGGCGGTAAGCGTAGAGCTCCGCCTTGGGTGCAGTTTGTCTCATTGCCCTTGAACGCTTGAACGACAGCTCGATGTCACGGTGCTGCCGCCACCGCTCCTCTGCGGGCTCCATACGTGTCCGATAGGTGCCGAAGAATGCTTTGTGAGGGCTTCGGTATGGCTGTTCCGCGCCTTTTGCTCCCTATCTGATGTGAGGGCTTTGACTGCTGAAGCCCAAGGCGTGGGCTACGTACATAAGGTCCCAGACACCCCTCACCTTTAGCAAGATTCACGTTGCATTGCCAGTCTCAATACCAACGTCACATCGTCAGTAATCCCGTCGCACCTGCTGAAAACTCGAGAGCGGCGTAGTACTTACGTGCACTGTTACCATAGGGGAGTGCCATAACCATGTCTAACACCGCCCCCGGACAGATCGAAACCAAGAGCCCCGACTCGTTGGAAGGCAAATTCCGTGTGGGCGAGGACGAGCGTGTCTACGCCATTTCCATTACCACGAATGAAACCGTCCCCCCGTTCGAGGTTATAAGTGCGGAACTGGCTTATAACAAGGAGTCAGATTTGACCGGTTTCACCAGCGTCACCGGAACTGTAGCGAAAGACCTCGTCCTTTATCTTGACCATGGCATCACTATTCGTGGGAAGGTTAGCTATACCGCCGTGGATCCCGCTCACGGTATTTCGGGTGGTGGAAACTGGGCGCTCACCTCGGAGTTGAAGGTGAGTCGTCACCACCGACTTATGATCAAAGGAGCTGACATTGCGCAGTGATCTTTACGAGCACATCTCCTGAATGCAGCACTGTCACCGTGGAGTTGACGAGACAGCGAGGTGTCGGCGACGCAAATTTCCCGAAGCTTCTGTACAGTTGTACTTGAATAGCCCATCGAAGTCCAATCATAGGAATATAGTGTTTGACGTGTTATCGACCACCGCTCCCTTGATGAACGGACGTATGGCTACGGCTTTAGTGGATGCATCCGTCACTAAAATTTTCGCCCTCATGGTACGTTCTGGGCGATATTCGCTCATGACCGCTGTACAATTCGACCACTGTTTTCTGCTTTCCCCTGGAGGCGGAGGGAGGAATTTGTGTGCTTCAATTTCCTTCCACGGTAAGTGGTATAGCGTGCCGCGGTTACTTTTCAGGCTGTGGGTTCGATTCCCGCTTGTGCCATTTTTTGGGCTTTTCGGAAATTCTCGAGCGTGTCTTAGCCACTCTTGGGCGCTTCTGGGTGGCTAGTCCGGTGTAACTTAATAAGTTCGCGTGTCTGCTGAACTGAAACCTTTGGGTACTGGCGGAGGATCTTCGCAGGCTTCCTTGCCTTCAATGCGTCGTATTGAAAATTTGGCTTCCTTGCTTGAAGCTTGTTCTTTATCATCCTTGGTACGCACAAGTATCAGCCCTGCAGCATTAATGATATCTGGTGACCTGGGCACCGCTACCGTGCGTCGCTTCTGCTATTGTTTTGTCAGCTCGCTGTGGCGTCTCTCTCAGGGGAACATACCTACGAAGAATGCTGTGGGCTCCACCGGCATGTGGGTTGGTACAATTCCCGTTGTATTCTCCTGCATAACTCTCGAGAACCGTTGTGGGATGTAAACACCTCGCTTTGAACACCATTCACTCTGCAAGTGTTGCGGCAACAGTCTATGTCACCGCATAATATGCATGGAATGGAACGCCAATGTCGCAGAGGAGTCTGGCGAGTATATAAACCTCGCTTCTGCAGCTACACCTTCATCGTCTCACGACGTCCCCCCCAGAACAACCACGACTGCACAGACAATGGCCGAAACTACTGCTTTCACTCTCACACCTGCTGCTAAAGACCCTGTCAACCATTATGCGCAGAACGTAATCAAGCATTTTCACCAAAATCTTGAAACACCTTCGACGATCCCCCCGCAGTCGGGAGCCAGACCTCGCACCCTCTCGTTCGACGCTAACAAGTATCTCCGCCCTACAGGGCCGCCTCTGGTATCAGTCCCTTCTAGCAACTTGAGACAGCAAGTGGGTATCATTGGGGGTGGAATCGGCGGCCTCTACGCTGCGCTACTGCTTCGCGAAGCCGGTATTCCCTACATAATCTACGAGGCTAGCGACCGCATTGGCGGACGTTTGTTCACGTACAGATTCCCCCCGGACAGATACGACTATTTCGTGAGTCTCTTCTTAACGCTGCGCTGCCCAGCTGACCTTCTCCTATCCGCCATCAGGACGTGGGTGCGATGCGATTTCCCGAAACGCCCGTCATGAAGCCGGTCTTCGACCTCTTCAAGCAGCTCAAAGTGAAGACGCTCAAGTACTACTTTGAGGACAAGCTCGGCAACTCAACTCTCTTCTACAACGATATCGTCAAGAAGAGGACCGAAGAAAAGAAGATTTTGCCGCAGGACTTCAACATTTACGATTTGGAGGACCGCTGGGCGAAGCTTGGGGTGGAGGACAACATGTCGAACGTCATCAAACCCTTCAAAGACCAGCTCATCAAAGATGCGAAGGAAGGTTCCGACAAAGGATGGGAGCTCATGATGGAATACGACCGCTACTCGACCAGGGGATACATGTCCGATCGCCGCAGCGACTATCGGCTGGACCTGGACGAGAAAAAGCTCATGCCTTACCCCGTCGATATTGTAGAGTGGTGCGAGACGTTCGACGGATCGTCGACGTCGTTCGATAGGGCTCTTACGGAGAGCGTCCTTGACAATCTGGCATTTAGGTACGACGACCAGCCTACCGATTGGCACTGCATCGAGTATGTCCGACGTCGTTCGTTCTGTCCTTGCTCTGATATACCTGCTTTCGACAGTGGTGGATCTGCCAGACTGGCTGAGACGCTGGCAGACTATTTAGAGCAACCCGGCGGGCCATCTCACACGTTATACCGAAACCAACCCGTCGAAGGCATCAGGTACAGCGAAGCGGACATCATCGGCATCGTCCATAACCAGGGCTCATGTGATTATTATACTCACGTCATCACCACCACCACTCTTCCCTGCCTGCGCGCCATGGACCTGTCAGAGGCGGAGCTTGACTACCCACAGAAGAACGCGCTGCGAGCGCTGTACTACAGCTCGGCGACCAAGATCGGGGTCAAGTTCACGACTGCGTGGTGGCAGGACGATGTGTTGATGAGGAGGTACGGCGGCTTCGGGGCCATCATTGGCGGCCAGTCATACACCGACAACATGTCCCGCATGATCGTCTATCCGTCGTACGCCGCCGAGTCTCAGACACCGTCGACCGTGCTTATCGCTAGCTACGCCTGGACCGGGGACGCGCTCGCCTGGACGGGGCTCATGCAGTCTGAGGACCGTATGAGGCGCAGGCTGCTCGACGATCTCGCCGAAGTGCACCGCTTCAACGCGGACGGAAGGGAGTTCCTGGAGGGCCAAGTCGAGTCGATCTATCCGTACAGCTGGAACAGCGATCCGAACACCATGGGTGCGTGTTACGGTACACTGATGGTACAATTCTGACGACTTGAGCGTATCCAGGTTCTTACGCGTTCTTTGGTCCCGGAGACTTCTCTGACTTGTACCCGCACCTCACGCGTCCTGCCGCCAACGGTAGACTTCACTTCGCTGGAGAGGTTGCGAGCGCACGTCATGCGTAGGTTCTCTGCCTTTTCCTCAAGGCTATCCCTGCTAAATTCCTGGCGCAGATGGGTGGTCGGCGCCCTCGAGGCGTCCAAGCTTGCTGTTTACCGCATCATATACTGCAGCTACCCAGAGAAGCTCGAAGAGTTCGAGAAGAAGTGGGGACTGCCGGAAGCGTGGACACGAGAGTCGATTATGAAGCAAGTTGCTGTTACGCTGGAGGGTGTGTATGCGGACACCCCCTCGCAAGGTAAACAGTAGGCTGTGCGGACGTCTGTAATAAGCTGTACATCGAAATATCTAGTGTATATTGTATACAAGCGGCGGCATCTCATTCTATGCAGTTGAATTCATTGGCAGTGACGCAGTGCTTGACCACACTATCATACAAAGCATGCTGGTACCTGTTTCGAGTCTGCCAAAGCCCAGCATTTTGCCATCACTCCTAGATAACAGTGTGCCTGGCCCGGGGGCCGGCGCCGCCTGTAGTGAGGATAGTGTGAGACCACAGCACAGATATTCTCGCGGGCCATTTCTAAGTATGAGTAAATATGCATCGAGATCAAAGGCTTTCTTCCCTATGGCAACAAATCTACCAAAGAACGTTGGAAAGGTTCAAAGGACGTGGAATATTTTAGCTGATGTGATATTAGGGCAGAACAGGCTAGGGGATCAGCGCGGGCGATGGTATTCTCCTCGACGATGCCCTGACACTCAAACTTACGGCGCACGTTGTCCCTGCCTGACGACGTAACGATTTTACTATCAATGGCGAACACAAAAGGTTAATGTGGCGAGAAATGAGTTGCACAATCGTCCCTCAAGTACGCAACCGGCGGCTTCGATACCACCCTTGACCGCGATGAGGAAGGTTTGCCGGCAGCGTCCACCATCAAGCGATGGAGTAGCTACTTCGCAACTGAAACGTGTGGTTACTGTGTGGTGCGCACCGTCGACACGCAAATTCGGCCGTGGCTATCTGCACTCACCCTCACATGACGCGTGTGACTGGCGAGCAAAGAGTCGCCAGGCGACACATCGTGCACAATATTCGTACGGCTGAACTTAAAATCCCGTGTGCGATACAGGGCACAACTACAACGGACTCAGGAAAATCGGCCACGACGCCAACATCACACCATCCCTGCTTATCGCATGAAGCCAGCGGCGCCCCCAAGACACCGTCCTGCCGATGGTAGATCACTATGTGGTATCAGTATCTCGCCCGTACATCCATAGAATTGACAAAGAGAGGCTCACATCCTCTCACGATATGATCCAGTAGCCATTCCCAACGATGGCCTGAGTGGGATCGACGGGCTCCTGCAGCGTCCCCTTCATGGTGGGCCCTCTGACGAGGGTGATGGTCACGTCTGCCCCGAGCGTGCCGCTGTATCTATCCTGTCCGTTCAACTGATTGTCGTCACTCCAGGTCAGCGTCGCAGTGCTGGTCGTTATGTTGTCAGTCGGTGGATCGATGGAGGCGACGAAGCTGCGCAATTGGCCATTGGGCATAATGAAATTAGCCACAAATCGGTTTGGGCCCTGGGCCCTGATAGTTCCTTCGGCGGTATGAGACATGCTGCTCCTGCAACGAAATAATCCGTATAAGTATCGTCTCATCTCAGCGGGAAGCTGTGAGTGTGCAACAATGCTACTGACGATGTAGTGCTGATTTGAGACTTAAGGTGCGGTGCAAAGTGAAATCTTCGATGCTGGACTGTCTAGAGGGCGGGCGTATGGCTTTATATACGTTTTGTTCCCTTGCGGCTGAAGCCTCAGCATCAGGCAGCTGGTGAGTGACACGCTCGTGTCAAGTGTGCTGTGGACTCACCCCACCGAAGTTCTCGTCGAGCACCTCCATCGCGCTGACTCCGCGCGGGATGCGGAGATCTAAGGTCTGAGGTCTGAGCCCCAGATCTGCACCTGCATGCTGTAAGAAGGTATTCAATATATTAAAAGCCGAACAATCGCGGCAGGTGAGCTCTATACGGTCACCTGAATCCTGCATGCGCCTGAGTTTGCACCCGGATGTACCGCTTGCTAGGTTTCCGGGAACCGACGAACCAATCAAGAAAATGTCAATCTTCGTGAGTCCCATCCAGTGACTGGTCATCGCTATGTCAGCTGGCCACTGCCTCGTGCAAGTCGTTGTTAATGACGGCAACTCACAAGTGTCCGCTGTACAGAGCCTCGACTCATGGTAACTTGAACGCTTGGGCGTCGAAACCCAATACTACTCCCTTCTGCGAAAGTGCGCTTGCTATCATATGATGGAGGGCGAAGGGAGAGCCGTATCGCCTTTTGAATCCTCACTGCCTTGAATGGCAGAACATACAAGACCCGAATAGCGGCGTTTGTCCTCGGGTAATGCGGGCTGCCAGGGACTGCCAGCGGACACGCCAGAAGATCGCAAGACTGCTCGGAGCATTCAATGGGGCTTCAATCGCTTGCGTACGCGAAGCGTCGCCACCAATAGGCCTAAGGTTTCGACCCTTGCGGCATAGAAAGGACGTGCGAGATCCTCTTTACTTTTGGGCGCTAGATGCTTTCGGGGCTTACCGAGACATGTGACTTGTCGATGCAACGCGACGCGTCGAAGGTAGCAACTTTCTCTACGTTCTCTCGGCAGGCCCGAGGCTCCCATGCCTGAAGAACTTTTGCGAGCTGTTTATTTGTTTGAGCTCGAGTGCACCACGCCGCGCACCTCGACAAAGCTCCTTGGCATGACGAGCCCGCTATTGGCCCACCCGTTTCAGCAGACGCCCTATGGTGCGCTGGAAACTTGTTGTACGTCCCATCCCGTTCGTGTGTGGTGTGTATGCGATGTTACAAAGCCAATAGGATCCGCTGAAATTTGATCCACACTTCTGCGAATCTCCAATGTTCACTACCAAAGTAATTAACCTGACTTGCAGCAATGGCAAATCTCACTGCGTCTCACGTTTGCGCAGTTCTGCCACCTATGGTTTGCTCAGGCCCCACGTCAGGAGAAATTTTCTGATCCAGGTGAGTCTCGGAATAAACTCCCCATTCCCGCTGGCCTACATTGATGTGCTCGCCGCACCTTATCGTAGTCGAACGCCAGTCGTCTGCCATCCGCAGCGTCACCTTCTCCTCCTCACGAAACCGGCCGTTCCTTCCCATTCCATCTCCACTTTCGTCGCAAAGCACAGAAGTTACTATGGACAGAGCTGCTATTCAAGCAGGCCTTACCTTTCAGAATACGCGCCTCTACAGGTACTCTCCGTGACCCTGAACCGGTCGCCTGCGGAAGCTTCTATTGAGGATACAGCTGGTGTGTTTTACATTTATTTAACAACAATCTACTGATACTTGGGATAGTGCAATGTGCACTGACCACGGTGAGGGGTTAATTGGGTCTCGAGTGCCAGGGGCCCGATAATGCCATGCCTTATTCTAACGCGTTTGTGCACTCGTATCACTGCAAGCTGCGTTCACTTGATAGAAACACCCTAGATCGGGCCCGCACAAGTTCGTTACAGTATGGTAAGGGAGGTACGCGTGCTTTGATGGTGACTATGAGACTCACAGCTTGCGCTAGGTGCATTGCACTCTGTACGCGCCGAGTCGCGACCATCTCAACTGGAGCATCCAGCTGCCGCGAGGAAGCTTGTGCTAACTTACGTTGAGCTGAGCCAATCAGTCATATAAGTTTATTATCAATCGTAATTGCGCTTAGAGGTTCGCATTCGGTCGTAAGGGCTCACGTGCGCTCACGTCGCCGGCTTGTGTTTGCACGAGCTCCCGTAGAGCTATGGGGCTGTGAAGGAACAACCTGACGACTGAGAGCACATGTGGCTAAGAATTTAGCCTGGTTAACTGGTTGTTCAAAGCTGGGTAGACGATGATGATACGCCGCCAATCAGACTGAAATTTTCACGTTAGCACTGACAGACAGTCGATCTCCTTAGTGCTTATATTTCGAAGTTAATAAAGAATATTCCTGTCAACACTTCGAGAGTATACACGAACGGTAGAAGTCCTATCAGGCAGCAACAGACCCAAGTGTTACGCTATCGCAGAGGTATCTGGGTGTATACCATTGTGCTGCCTATAGAGATTACTGATGATGTGACGTACGTGTTGAGGCTAGCGGGTGGAGATCTGATATTGGCCTGCGGCGTGCAGGTTTTTGGACCTGATATACTTGTCGTACTCTGGCGGCCGTGGCCTTCGCGTCAAGCAGATAGCGAACGACATGTGTGTGTTGAGGGTAACCTGAACCCTGAAACTCTTCGCAGACCATTAGCTGGCATTATAAAAGCATGCACCGCTTCCAAAAGACTTCCTTCGCTATGCCGGGAGACCTATCGACAAATATTTGGAGGGTTACCTTCCGATGGTTTGACAACAGGCTGGGAACACGATCATGAGCGCGGGCAATGATATTTTCCTCGACGACTCCCTAGCACTCAAACTTCAAAGGGTGCACATAACACTCAGACTGTAATTGGCGAATACTGTAAGACTGGTGTAGCGGGCCGTGGGTCGCGCAATCGTCCCCCAAGTGTGCACCGGCAGCTTCGATGCTGCTTTTGACCGCGATGAGGAAGGCCTCCTGACAACGTTCACTACCAAGCGATAGAGTAGCCACTCCACAACAGACCGAGTGATCAATGCGCGGCGTACACTACTGACTTGCGAATTTTAGCGGTGGCCACCTGCACTCGTGCGAGTACGACACGTCCGACCATCGACCGAATAGCCACCAACTAACACATGATACACATCATTCCTATGACTAAATTTCCGTGGTGATACAGGATACGACTACAATGGACTCAGGAAACTCAACCACAACGCCAACACCATGCAATCTTCCCCATGCCGTGGCGCCAGCGACGCGCTCATGACACCGTCCTATCGGTGACAGATCACTACGTGGTATCAGCATCTTGCCCGCACATTTATGGAGTTGACAGGGAATGACTCACATTCTCTTACATCGTCATGGCCCAGTCGCCATTGCCGACAATGGCCTGAGTGGGATTGACGGGCTGTTGGAGCGTCCCCTTGATGGTGGGCCCTTTGCCGAGCGTGATGTTGAGGTCAGTCCCGACCGTGCCCTCGTAGCTGTCCGCGCCGACCAACTGATCGTCGTCGCTCCAGGTCAGCGTCGCGGTGTTGATTGTCATGTTGGTAATGGGAGGATTGACAGAAGCGTTGTAGGTGCGCACTTGGCCATTGGGCATAACGAATCTGGCGATGAATCGGTTTTGGCCCTGGGACGAGACTGTTCCTTTGGCGGTCTGGGACATGGTGTTCCTGCAATGAAACAGTATGAGTATCATCTCGTCCCGGCAGAAAGCTACGAGGATGTGAGAGCACTACTGACGATGTGGTACTGAGTTGAAGGCTAAGGATGCAATGCGAGTGGGTCTTCGATGCTGGGGCTGTAGACGGCTGGCCTATGACTTTATATATGCTTTGGTCCCTTGCGGCTGAAGCCTCAGCGCCTCAGCGTTAGACAGACGGCGAGTGGCACGCTGGTGTCGGGTGCGCTGTAGACCCACCGCACCGAGACTTTCGTTCTGGCACCTGATCCCAAGATCTGAGGTCTGAACCCCAGATCTACACCTGCACTCTGAGGGAGGACATTCGATATGTACGGGACTAAATGCTTACAGCAAGTGAACCGCACACGGACATCTGAATCCTGCATGCGCCTGAGTTCGCACCTGGATGCACCGTTTGCAAGGCCTCCGGGAGCCGACGAATCAGTCAGATGAGAGCCTGTTTCTGTGTGTCCCACTCAGCAGCTGGTCATCGCTGTGTCAGCTGGCCATTGCCCCGTGCGAGTCGCTGTCAACGGCGGCGACTCACAAGTGTCCGCCACGCAGACCCTCGACTCGCTTTGGGCGCTCAAGCGCCCGGCCCAGGTCGATTCCCTTCTGCAGAAGCATGCTTGCCATTACGCTAACGCAGGACAAGGGGAGAGCTGTATCGGCCTTCTGATTGTAGGGCAGAACGTACAGGACCCGAATAGCGGGGTTCGTCGTCGCGTAAAGCAGACCGCCAGCGATCACGCGGGGTATCGCCAACAGCAGGCATTGTCGCCTGCGAGATGGAATGAAGAGGTGCGGGATCCTCAAGCTCTTGCCGCGGCGCGGCGGGATGCTTAGGTAATGAGGGCGCCTGATATACTGCAGAGGACCATGACCCGATTAGCGCCATGCGCAAAAAGCGAGGCATGTCTTTCCGTCCATCCCGCTATCCACCACAGATTCTCCAAAGAATACATTGATATTCTATGCCGGACGGCACTGAGTGCGCACACACAGCATATCTGAATATTCACCATGTCAGACCAAAGTTGATCGCGGTACGGACGGATCCCAATCAGTGTTCATAAAATACATTGTGTCCATTATCCTCATTCATTCATTTCAGAATGTGTCAAGCCTAGCCGAGGGTGCTACAACTTAAGTTCTTGATGCGCCTCAGTTCTCGTAATGCGCTCCAGCCCCATCGGGCCTGCTGGCTCTTGCCGCGAGCCATTGGTTCCATTCGTCGACCCCGCATGCGACACCTTCCAATCCTGTGCGGTGTCTTCTCACAATAGCTCATTACGACGTCGCCTCTGAATCTTGGTGATAGTTTTGGCAGATCGACGATGTCTTTGATGCCATATGGGTGCCAAAGAGTGCTTGATGAGAGTTTTAATGCGGTAGATTCACATCGTACCTAACATGGACATGCTGTTTGCTGTTTGGCTGACGCGTTGAAGGCCCTGACCGTGAGGCTGAACGCATATGTAGTCCCGGATGCTACCCCTTCTTGCAGCAAACTCCCTTTGTATTGCATTGCAAGCCTTCGCATATTCATCACATTGTGAGTCATCCATCGCATCCGCACGACCTGCCGAGGCGATCTAATGCTTGCGTGCGTCGTCGCGTTGCAGATACGCCATGGCCATGCCTGTTGTAGGCTCTGCTCGCACCCCCATGGCAACCTTATTTCAAGCCAAGTTCACCGTCAATGAGCTTCTGCGCACTTTCAACGCCTCCCTCAACAGCAACATTCTCTTCAGTTCCGATATCGCGATGCTAACCTATGGCAAGGAAGACGATTTGACTGGTGATGACACCTACACCGGCACGGCCGGTGCTACTCTCGAAGTCAACCTCGGTAAAGGGCCTAAGATTACTGGGACGATCGTACCCCCGTTCGACCCCCCTATTCCAATTAGCGGCGGTGGCACCTGGGCCTCGAGCTAAGAAGTGAGTTTTGAGTCTTTAATTACTGACTTGGTGAACGTGCGCGCGAGATGCTGATATTGTTCGGTAATTCTTCATTGACAGGACAATTTTTGAGCACGGTGCCGGCGTCGTGGGGTACTAGGCTAAATGGCGTATCGTGTTCGCGGCGAGATAGGGTATCCCGACGCTGTTGTACATGTACATCGTACCGTCTGAGGAAGTTTGACCAAATGATTGTGGTGCAGTGGCCCTTCGCTCGACAGTTGAATGTAGCATGCGGATTTGGGTGCGCGCCCTAGCTATCGCCCTGAGGGTGTGGTAACTGCCCTTTTCTGTGGCGAATAGGCTGATCTACCATTTGATAGTGATTGTTGTAGCTTGACGTTTCAATACTCGTACGCGGGAGGTGCTTTGTTCCCTAAAAGACAGAGAAGCAGTCTCTTGAGTGTTGACCCAGTGCCATAGCAAAAAAATGTCGCATAGGAAGTAGCGGGATTCCTGCACTGGTCCTCTTTTAGCATGGGTATTCCCACTCATTGGAATGGCCCCAGGTATTGGCAGCTAGGCCGTCTCCCGTATATGCGCTCCTGACCGAGGGTACGCATCCGTAAACGTCGTGCTGCTCATGCCAAGGGTCTCAAGCCACATAGAGTGTGAGAATCACGCTGCTGCAGACCGGACCGGAGATCACAATCAAACTCAAATGCGATTCTTTCAGGGTATTCCCATGTCATTACAGCCTCTGGTGGACACGTACTACATCTAACGGTGATCTAAGAAGGCTTTGCCCGCAAGAAGCATGGTCACGCAACGGTACAATCGCTCAAGAATGTATCACGTTTGATATTGAGTGCCGATGCATGCCCTGCGTCTGGGCACCCCTCGTTCTCTCCGTTCGTCGAAGCACTTTATCCACCCTGGACCAACGGCTCTTCAATGATTGCCGGCGGATTGCAGCGGTGGAGGCGTGGAAGCTGGTCGTCTATAGATTGACGAGGTTCTTCAACGCCTAGGCCATTGTCCATGACAAAAAGCTAAAGCTGGCCACTGAGCGCCGCAAGCACTGCAATACTCCAACCGAAGACTGGAGCGCTTGACGAAATGTGCTAGTGATAGAGTCCTCCGAGTCATCTCTAGAGATGTGGTGCACAGGTCTGCCACACCTGCCTTGCAGCGCAGATGTCGGAATGAGAAGGCCTTACGAACGCCGCCGCCGCCGCCTCCCTTATGTAAAGTCAGCTTCATGGATGCACCTCGCACTCACGCTGGATTACGTGGCACGAACGCCACAGGCCAGAAAACACCGTTGGTGCGGAAGCAGACGTTCTTTCATAAGGAGATACTTTGAAACCTAGCAAATGCGAAGCGATTAATAAGCTTCCATGAGCAGTCGAAACAGCCCTGGACATCACATGATGGATACTATCGCGGGATTACTGCTTGAGCGGGGTCCAGGCACACCACGTAATGGAATCATTGCTCCTCTGCCAACCACTGAAAGGTCGAAGAATCGAATCAGAAACGGCTTAGAACAACGTTCGAGGGGCTGTAAGCTCACAAGAAGCAGCCCTGCACGGCTTTTACGACGTGGCCCGTCTCTTCGTGAATGTTGAGGCGCACCTGACTGGCCCAACCGCTCCCGTGCTGCTTCCAGAGGACAATGGAGTGGATGGCGATAGCGTCACATTGGGACTAGTGGACAGAACTGGAGACGTAATAGTCAGTGAAGCCCGTTCTCTACCCTTCGTTGCACCTGCCCACTCCAGACCGCTCCAACAATCCACATTGTTCCCCTGAACTCCCTGTTCTCCTTGTTCTCCCTCTTCCGCCGCTCATTATTCATTACCCTGTACAGTGGACATCAGTCAGCTTAGATATCACCGCCGTAGACACGTTCTGCATGAAGCCCAGTGTATGCTGTACCCTTGTTGTCAAGCTCGCCCACACTAGCCATCAGGTGTAGGCTCTCGCGTATCGACGGCGCAAGCATGCAGACCTGGAGATGCCAGGCAGTAGGGGTTCTCGCGCCTATTCCAAGGAAACGACCCCTGTCGGACAAGGAGCTTTTACATTAGCATAAGTTAGCTACAGTATCATTACGCAAGAACTATTTGCATAGAATCAAATAATAGGCTCACTAACACGCCAGCATTCCACCTCGCGCGGTACCATGCATCACGCATAAACCCGCAAACCATCACTCCCGCGCTTCTCATCGACGACGGCCTGCGTCCACCGCAGCGCGAGCGTCTCGAGCATGTCCTCCCAGCCGGGCTCCTTGCGCGCGATGAGCGGCACGTCGAACGTCACCGGCGGCTCCACTGCCGGGAACCGGAACATTGGGCTCAACGGCGACGACAAGGGCGTTGCTGCTGGCGAGAGCTTGTTCGTGGCCGCAGACGGCGGCATCCACACCGGGATGCTGTACCGAAGCTTCAGAGCCCTATGTTCAGCGTCAGCGATGTGGCAGAGAAAAGCAACGAAGAGAGGGGACATACGCTGCCCAGAGGCGCAGGTTGTCTGTCCGTCGGAACGTCCACCCCCGCGTCTTCTCCTGCTCCTGCTCCGCGACAGACTGGGCTTCGAGAGCCGCGATATCGTGGATCGCGTCCTTGTTGACGTAACCCCATGGCTTGCGCGAGCGACGTACGCCGGTATTGTATGCGATGCAGAGCAGTTGGCCCGACGAGAGCGCGTTCAACAGCAATGCACGATCCGCAGGTGGAGGAGGTAGAAGGTGCTGTAGGGGAGAGGGTATGAGGGCTTGTAGCAGCGCATATAGTCTTCCTACGAACACCTTAGCTGTAATAGATGTGTATATATGAAACGTTACTCACCGAGGTCGTCATCTGTGAACGCGCCACGCTTAGCCCATTCTGGTAGATCCTCGTCATCGACACTCTCCGCCCCGGATAAGCGGTCGGCGCCCTCGGGCTCGTCCGACAGAGTCAGCCCCTTCAACACGTCCAGCATGCCTGTCGAAACTATCCGCCTGTTGTCCCGCTTCTTCTCTCGAAGCTCAGGATCTCCCGCACTTGCTCGCCTGCTCTTTACACGCTCCCTCTCTCTCCGTTCCTCCTTCTCCCGTTCGCGCTCCCACCCTCGCTTGCCGTCCTTCCGCCCAGTAAATAGGGTCTCGTCCACCGCGTCAAGATATCTTGCGACGACATCCCGCTCCTTCGTGAGCTCATCGCGCTTCACGTCTTGGCGGTAGAGCCAACCACTGCCAAGGACAAGCCTCTCATCCCATCGATCGCGCTTTTCTTCCTCGGTCATCGCATTCAGGTCGATATCGTCGTCGTCCTCCCATACGGGGACGGGCCCGTCGCGGTGCGGGACGTGCAGGTACGAGATCGACACGGGCGTCTCGGCATCGCCGCCGAGAAAGTCGGGTGACGTCGCGCGCGACACGCTCCTGCCGGGGCCGGAGCCGAAGCCGGAAGCCGAGCCCGAGCCTGCGTGTGAGCCGCTGGAGCCGGACGTAGACTCGCCGTGGTCGCTCTGCGCGTCGTACGCGTCGTCCGAGAGGGGCAGCCGCGACGCCTCCTCGACGATCCGCAGCACCGTCAGCACCTCGAGCGCGCTCCGCCGGATCCGGCTCAGTGGGTCGGCGCTCGAGTCTGGCTGCGAGGCCTGCCGGCGCGGGAGGGGTGCGCTTGACATTGTCATCATCGGCGGGCGGAAATGAAAGTCGCGTTTCACTGGCGTGGGACCATCGTCTGGCAGGGAGAGGAGGTAATTGCGCACGGACCGCACGGCGTGCGTTGTCGTCCGTAGAAGGTCTAGCACGTCGACGCGCCCGCTGTTGCCGTCCGTGTGCGCGCTCTGGACACTGAGCATGTCGGACTGCAGCACGCCGTTAAGCCACCATGCGTGCTCTACCAGAGTGAGGTCTTCGATGATGGATGGTCGCAGATTCTCGTGGTCAATCTCGTATGTCTTGACGTACGGCGAGCTGGTGGGCCGCACGATCTGCGGAACGATAGGGGACGGTGGCAACTGGAACTCTGGAACTCCCTCTGGCCATTTTCTACTTGTATTCGCATTCAGACCTCCGATTGCTGGTATCATGCCATTGTTAGGCTTGTCGACAGGGCTGCGATTTCAGTTGGATATCGGAGGCGAGAGATCTCTGAAGCGGAACGTACTTCTTTTCCGCTGCGAGACCCGTCTTGGTGAAGTAGTGCTGGAGGTGCTCGATGCTTCCTAGAGCCATGACACTCTCTCGCTTCGCGGCACTGCGGCTGAATGGCTTCGTCGGTTTGTTTGAGGAATTCATGTTGGGGTAGAAGGCAAACTGGCGGCGGGAGCTGGCGCGCTTGCTCGAGATGGGTGATACATCATCGTCCGCAGTAGGACTATCCATAACCTTTCACGAGATTGACTGCGAGAATCGAGTTGACAGAGACTGCCAGGTTGAGGACAAACGTCGAGGTCGACCCTCTCACACTGCAAGAAGACTGCCGACTTCGCTCGTTGCTACTGATCCAATCACTGATGTCGCGAGGAATCCGATTGGGCGAATCGGCGATTCTGTTCCCCCTGGCGACGCGGGTAACAACGGCGGGGTTCTCATTTTTGCCTCTCTCTGAGGATGATACGCGAGAGGACGAAAAGTCGGAGAGGAGAGGCTTGCTTAAGGTTCAACGGAGGTGATTTTCAGCGTCTGCAATTTACTTCCGCTGATGGCACCATTCACATCGTATGAACGCAGATATTGATATAGGCGACGGCACAACATGGAATATTTAGCTTTTTGTGCATTGTGGGATCGACTACAGGCTACTCCTACTACCGCTGCTTGGTCGAGGCACCTCGACGCTGCCAGCAAGCACTTGTCTCGCGCAAGGCTGAGCGCGACTATACGGTTCGGGGCACGATATATTCAAGTGGCCTTGACTTGAGCATGCCGGCATCAACAGGTCAGTACTGCAGTTACAGCAGGGGGCTCTAAGTTAAAAATACTCTCAACAATGCACAGAACTAGATAACCATAGATTGAGGTATTGTATGGCTTGATAAGCTGTATGCGAACACGATAAATCGCATCATGACATGCAGAGCTTGTCGGAAAATTAGTAGGAGCCTCACGAGGCGGTGGGCGCCGCTGGGTGCTGCTTTCCATAAGCCTCCAGTACAGCTAGCTATCAGGCTACGTCTGTATTCACACGCTTTGTGAGTGTCAAATACGTCTAATAGATAACTGGAGCAGCAGGTCTGAAACCATCATAGCGAGCTTGAAACCTTCGCCTACGGCCGTAAATATCGTCTGTTAGAGCGGCGCGGCAGCTGTTGGCCAAAGGGTCACCGATAGCATATCACGCACTACTTTCATATGGTTAAATCTCCGCGGGCCGCACAATGTAGACGCAAGAGCCTGGAATAGCTCCATTATGTAGCCGACACTACGCTATCTCGCCTTTCCTATGACGGCTAAAGATTCGCCTCCTCCTCCTGCCAACGCAAGACTACAGGGTTGCGTCAGTATTCCGCGCACATTGACCGAATCAGTAGACGAATATTCAAGACTCGCCTCTTAGCTCATGTGCCAGGTGCCACCACCGGTAACGTCAGTGGGGTCAACAGGTTGTTGGAGGTTCCCAGTTATGATGGGCCCTTTATCGAGGGAGAGGTTGATGGCAGTCCCGATGGTGCCATGGTGGCTGCCCCTGGCAGTTAACTGATCCTCGTCGTCATAACTCAGCGTCGCATTTCCGATCTTGAAAGCAACGGGAGGGTCGATGGTGGCGATGTAAGTGCGCACAATCCCATCAACAATGAACTTGGCTTGGAATAGGGATGGCAGGGAGGTCACAACGGTTCCTTTAGCAGTCTTGGACATGGTGTTTCTGCAATGAAGTAGTATGGGAAGATGGCTGTCTGTCTTCAAGTATGCCATGCGGGTGCGACGGAATTACTTACGATGCAATATTGAAACTCGGCCAGAAACGCAATACGAAGTGAGTCTCCGATGACGAGCTTCAAGGGAGGGGAGGATCTGTGTGACTTTACATACATTTCCAGCCTAGTAATCAAGGTCTTCAACGCCCCAGCCAAAGAGCAATAGAATGCTTGGCATGCCGAACATAGTGCGAACCTACGGTCTTTGGCACCTGCATTGCATCAAAAGCGTATGGCGGATGACTAGCCGACCAGGCGAAAGCATTACTAGAATTCAGAGCTGACGCCGCGACGAAGCATTAGAACTAGAAACGAAGCATGATGAGAAGACGATGCAGGATCGAATGGTGTCGCATGTGCATGAAGAGTTGGTCGATGATTTGTGGTTAGTGCGCAGAACGGCCGCGGCTTGCCCGCTTGTGGCATTGCGAAAAGGGGTAGGATCTGCTAAGCATCTAGCGCCCTTATTACCTAAGCACTCTTAAGTTTTTACGTCTCAGCGCTGAGCGCGGTAATCGCCTCTGGCACAAATGCCGGGAGTGACTAGTGATAATACCTCACAGGTACGAGCAGTAGAGCCTTAACATTTGCTCTGAAGGGTTCTATCATCTCCCAGGATGTCGAATTTCAATATTCGGGCGCCGCATGTCCTTCCTTTCTAAGCCGGTGGAATCAGAAGTCTCAAACAGCTTTCCTCCGGTCTTGCACTATGGCAAGCATAAGTACTTTGATCTTCGGGAGTGAATTTGGAGCTCAAACTTAAGGCTCAAGACTCTGTAGGGCGAACACCGGTAGGTTGCCACCGTTGACAGCTACTCGCACGAGGCAGCAGCCAGCTGACGCAGCGGTGACCCGCCGTTGAACAAGATTTTCGGAGATTAATACTCTCCGGGTCAATTCGCTATCCTTTGGAAATTTGGCAGGTCGTTCATCTGGGCACGAACTAGGACGCATGCAGGATTCAGGAAGTCCGCAGACAGCGACTGAGGGCGCGCCGTCAACGGCCGCTATGAAGCAGGTGATGTTGCGCTTATATCCTTCGCCATTCCGGATGTTCAGACAAGGTTCATACTAGATATCTGGTCTGCAAACTGCTCCGTATGGCTGCAAGAAGGTATACAGTAACTCCCAGGAGACGATAAACTTGGGATGCTGCGAACCTACGGGCTCGTGGCCAAGGTTTGATAGTAGATGCGAGCATCATCCATCCCGCTTCGAAAACTGAATGCTCTAGGCAGTTCTGCCTGAGATATAGTGACGATAAACGATGAGATTGAGCGCTCTGGTCTGCTGACATATCGTGCCATCCGTAGTATTTTTCATAGATCGACTGCCGCTGATTGTCTCCCGTATAATGCAGGTGCGAAATCATAATCACTGAGTGTTTCCGTGAGCATTGTGTAAGTTTATGCTATTCTCGACGTAGGCATGCTGCTCGTTATCTGTCTCACGCATCGACGGCCCTGAGGTCATGCCAGAGGCGTATGTAAAGCCGCATGACTCCACCTTACTTCGTAGCATCAAAAACCCACTCTGTTACACCCTGGTATCCATATCGGCACCACATCGTTAGTATTCCTGTCACATCCGCACAATCCACCAAGATGAGGCGATACTCATGTGTGATGCTACATTATAGGAGCGCTATGTCTAAGACAGCGAAAGGAACCGTCGTCGCCAACCAACAAAACACGTTCCAAGCAACGTTCACTACCGCTGACGGATTCACGCGCACTTTCAGTGCCACCATCAATCCCCCCGTTCCTAAGTTTAGGATTGATGACGCGAACCTGACCTACAACGACGAGGATCAGTTGACCGGCACAGACAACTATTACGGCACAATCGGGACTGACATCGACATTGCCCTTGCGAAAGGGCCCACTATTACTGGGAAACTTGTCAATCCCATGGTACCAACCAACAGCATCATCGGTGGTGGTCCTTGGGGTATGAGCTCGTAGGTGAGTCTCTTGCCACAAACTCAGCGGATGTCGGTGCGGAATATTCATACGATTCGGTCATCTCTCACTTGCAGGATAACTCTGGTGCTGCGACAGTATCGTAGGGAAGGCGAGTTTTCGTGGTGTTGGCGGCGTGATCGACTCTTCTCGAGTTCAGTTTTTCTGTATACTCCAAAGCACTGTCAGGCAAAGCATAAATATCAAGAGGAAAGTGACATAGACATGCACAAGCATAAAGAGCACGCAGTGACTTTCAGCAGGGCGCTGGGGGGATGAAGACCTGAAGGTCAAGTTAGTGAGGATAAGAGCATGTACTAGCCGGCAACAAAGAACGCTTACCCAGCTGGACGACCTGCTATTAGAGAATTGTAATGAGGAATTTCGGAGTTTAAAATTACCTTTGCGGAGATTCAAACGTTCAAAATCCGTTAATTCATCATTCCGGATGATTTGTTACTGCCGCTTGCTACATACGTGCGCCTTTCGTCCTCGAACGTTTGACCAATGAAATGATTTGACCAATTCATCGCGGGAACTGGCGCATGCACGAATCGCGCGTCTCGAAAGCAGCAGCCAGCCGTTGAATGATAGGAAGCGATACTTCCTGTTGAGGTGTGTCCACGTAATCCTTGATACACGAGCTCGTGGCCAGGGTTTGCTGATAGATGCGAGCATCGTCCATGCCGCTTCGAAAGAGAAGTGCCCTAAGCAGCTCTGCCCGAGATGCAATGGTGAGGAACGGTGAGATTGAACGCTCTGGTCAGCTGAGATATCATGCTACCCTTGAGCTTGAACCTCCGTAGCATTCTTAATAGATCAACTGCTGCTGCCTGTCTCCCGTGCAACGCAGGTGCGAGGTCATAATTGCTGAATGTTTCCATGTGCAGGTTTATGCCATCCTCGACGTATGCATGTCGTTCGTTATCTGTCTCACGTGTCGATGGCCCTGAGACCAGGCCAGAAGCGTATGTAAAGTCGTCTAACTCCACTTCGTAGCCCAGCATCAACAATCCGCCCTGTATTGCGTCCCTGGCATTCATATCAGTACCACATCGTTAGTATTTCTGTTACACTCATAGAATCCGCTAAGATGAGGCGACTCGGATACTCATGTGTGATGCTACATTACAGGAATGCCATGTCCCAGACAGCGAAAGGAACCGTCGTCGCCAACCAACAAGACGGATTCCAAGCCACGTTCACTACTGCTGACGGATTCACGCGCACTTTCAGTGCCACCATTAATCCCACCGTTGGCGAGTTTAAGATCGACAACGCGAGACTAGCCTACAACGACGAGGATCAGTTGACCGGCACAGACAACTACTATGGCACAATCGGGACTGATCTCAACATCACCCTTGGGAAAGGGCCCACTATTACCGGGAGGCTTGTCATCCCCATAGACCCAACCAACAGCATCAACGGCAGTGGGCCCTGGGGCATGAGCTCGTAGGTGAGTCTCTATCTACGGACACAGTGGATGTAGCTGCGGAATATTCATACTATTTGTTTGTTTTTCATTTGTAGGATGATTTTGGTGCTGCGTCACTTCGGTATCACGGGGAAGGCGAGATTGCGTGGTTGTCGGCGGAGTGATCGATTCTCCTCAAGCTGCTTTTGTTTTAAATGTCAAAGCTCTGTCTGGCAAATCACGAGTATTGGCGAGAGAGGGACTTGTCGTTCTAGCTAGCGCAAGTAGGTATACGCAACTGCCGCCGGTGTCGTAGCATGACAGCTCGGACACGCAGGCGTAAAGGGCACGCGGTGACTTCAGTGGGAGGCTTGAAGGACCCCGCGTCGCGTTGAGCACGTTTGGTAGCGTGCTACGAGCCTGTTGAGGGGATAAAGACGTAAGGGCCAACTAAGTGGGGACGAGAGCACGTGCCGGCCTGCAACAAGGAGCGCCGGCGGGCTGGACGTGTCGTTCGACGACCCTAGGCTCAGAGACGGCAACTTTGGAGCCGGTCCTGATCGCGATGAAGAAGTCTCCGGGTCTTTCGCCACTGAACATTTGGAGGGTGAAACGATTAACCAATTCGCCGCGGGAACCAGCGCCTGCTGGCGCATGCGTGAACTGCGCGTCTTCGTTCGAGCCCTTTTATAGTCTTCTCACAGTATTTTCAAGGGAGAATACTAAGTCTCTGGGGTCAATGAGTGAGCACTTACCATGAGGTACTAATTAGGCTGAAACGGACCCGACTGCCGGGTGCTACTGTTGACAGCAGTTCCAGTTAATGACTCGGAGGCAGCAGGCAGCTGACGCAGCGATGACTAGCCGTTGAATAGGACGCGATACTTCCCGCTGTAGTACGTCCACGTAATTCTTAATGCAGGCGTACCGCTGCTATCTGGCTCACGTGCTGAAGGTCTCAACCATCAGACCCAAAACGTATGTAAAGTCCTAGGCCCCGCTCTCTTTCGCAGCTCAACAGTCGAGAATTGCTTCGTGCCGCATCCCTAACTTTCCTACCAACTGCACATCGTTAGTAGCCCTGTCGCATTCATATAATATGCTAAGATGAGGTGATACTCATGTATGTTGTTGCGTTGCAGGAGTATCATGCCTACCGCCACGGGAACCGTTGTTTCCACCTCACAAAACAGATTCCAAGCCACATTCGACGTCGATGGGCGGAACCTCGCCTTCAGCGGTACCATAACTCCCGCAGTTCCCATGTTCAAGGTAGACCCCGCGACGTTGACCTATGGCCGCGACGACGAAGTGGCTGGCACGGACAGCTACCACGGCACCGTTGGAAATGACCTCGAATTATCCTTCGACAAAGGGCCCACCATTGCCGGGAAGCTCGAGAAAGCCGTAGTTCCATCCAGCAACATTGCCGGCGGCGGCCCCTGGAGCATGAGCCCGCCGCCCGGGCCGGTAAGTCTCAATCTCTCCAGTTCGCGAATGCGTGCATGAAATATTGACATACTTCAGTGATCTGTTATCGACAGGAGGGTCTTAAGAACGGTGCTGGCTCCATGAGCAAGGCGAGATGGCATAGTGTTGGCGAAATGGTCGTGTCATGTCATCTGAATGTTTCGTAGTCCTGTGTTGCGCGCAGAAGTCCAGTTATACAAATGTAGTTCATGAGTATCGTCTATGACCGTCCGCTCGGCGCGGTCTCGCGAACGGGAGTGCAGGCAGCCGCCATTGAATTCCGTGTCCCCGCGGCGCGTCTTGCATGGCGGTCTTCCGTATCTCTCGCAGTTTGGTTGACTCATTGGTGGTGAACGCCCTAGAGACCGTCTTCGTTGTGGTGAGGGGCTACGTAGCGCTAAAGCCGCCAGGTTCAGGCCTGGAGTCATCGCGGGGGCACACATCCCACTGGGTAGGACTAAGCCCCCGATGTTCGTTGTCGACGGCCAGTACTTCAATGTAGGCTCAAAATTTAACGCTGAGAGCTACTGAGGCATCTTTATGAAGCATGCCCTCCCCACTCGCCCCTGCAGTGTCCCTATATCTCATAGCTTGCCTCTGTGCGGCGCGCCACTAACAAGGAGAAGTTCAGGGAGATTCGGGGCGACACTAATGCCCGCACTTAAACTCGCGTGATGCATCCAACTGTAGAACGATGGGTGATTGCGCTACATTCTTACGGATGGACGGTACAATGTACATATACAGCAGCGTCAGGAGATTTGATCGTACCACTAGCACGGCACAACATCTTGCCTACCCCACGACACCAGCACCACGCTCAAGATGGTGACCTGCGAATGAAGGAACACTGAACGGCATCAGTATTCCGCATATAAATTCACCAGTTCGGTAAATAAAGACCAGTGACTCACCTCCTAGTTCACAAGCCAAGTTCCGCCGCCATTAACATCGGTGACAGGGTTGACGGGCTGTTCGAGAGTCCCGGTAATAGTGACTCCATTCTCGAAGGTGATGCGTATCATATTACCCTCGAGTGTGCCGTAGTAGTTTTTGTAACCAGTCAGCTGATCCTTGTCGTTGTAGGTCAGCGTCGCATTGTCGGCCGTGAATTCGATGTCGCCATTGAGAGAGCCGTCGAAAGTGTATTTGATCTCCTCAACAGTGAACTTGGCTTGAACTGATTGTGACTGGGTGGTACAGAAAGATCCCCGGGCGGTGTTGGACATAGCGTACCTACAGCGCAATAATGGACGTAATTTCTAGCTCGCCACGGCGGGTCGTGTAGATGTGATGTAGTTACTCACGATACGGTGTCGTTACGAAGACTTGGGGCGCAATGTGAATAGGGTCTGCAGTACAGTGTTGCAAGAGGGGTAGCGTCTGGGACTTTACATATACTTTCAACCTCACAGTCAGGGAATTTGACGTGTCAGCCAAACAGCAAACAGCATGCCCATGTCAGTACAATGTAGACTCACCGCATTGGAACTCTCACCAAGCATTCTTTGGTACCCGCATCGCACAAACGGCGGCCGTAGATCTACCGAAATCGTGGCCAAGGTTCAGAGGTGATTCCTCAATGAGGCCTTGTGAGAATACACCCTGCGGGATTGGAAGGTGTCGCATGCAGAGCTAACGAACAGAACCGATGACTCGCGGCAAGAGTTCGCAAGCATCGCCAGGCCCGAAAGGGGTGAGAAATATTACGAGACTGAGGCGCATAAGGAACTCGAGCTGGAGCACCCCAGGCCGAGCTTGACACATTCTGAGAATGACTGAACGCGCGGAATAGCCGTGAGGTGCTGAATGAACGTGAACCCGCTAGCCATCGGCTGACTGGGAATCCGTGGCATCGCATATCACTTTGGTACGACATGATCAATATTTGGATATGTTGCGTGTAAAATGCTGTTCTCCACCTGGAGTGAGGCAGTGTTGTGTGGAGAGTCTGCGGCGTGCAGCATTGAACGCGAAGGAGTAGGTCGCAGTCGCTTGGCGAGATCAGTTTTGTGATCTCGATTGATGTTCGTGCTCGGATTACCTAAGCATCCCGCTGCTTCAGGGTCCCGTCCTCCTTCCATCCCGCAGAGACAGATGCAGGTAGTCTCCCGATGCCTCGCGTATGCAACCGACGTGGCTGGAGCCTCAATGCTCCGAACCGTTTCACAATTCTTCTGGTGTGTTCGCTGGCAACCTGCTTTACGCAACGACGGACGGATCCTCAGGCCTCAGGTTGCACGTTCTGCCACACAATCAGAAGGCCGACACAGCTCTCCCCTTGTCCTGCATTAATGGAAAGCACACTTCCGCAAAAGGGAGTCACGGTAGACATGGGGTTCGGCGCTCAATCCCCCAAGGCGAGTCGAAACTCTGGGTAGCGGACACTCGCAAGTCGCCGCCATTGACAGCGACTCGCACGAGGCGGCGGCCAGCTGACACTGCAATGACCAGGTGCTGAATGGGACTCACGGAGATTGGTTCCCTCCTGACTGATTCGTCGGTTCTCAGGAATCTAGCAGGCAGGGAGAACTCAGGCACATCCAGGATCGAGGGGACTGTGTGTAGCTCACCCGCTGCCAGCACTCGGCCCCACGCATGGCGAGTGCCCTCTCCACCTGCACGCTGACAGATCTGGACCCCATACCCCAGACCTCATACCTGCAGATCCAGTGCGGGGACGCGGTAGAGGTGCCAGAGAATGTTCGGCGAGAGTATCGGTGCGGTGGGTCAACAGCACACTCGGCATGGACGTGCAACACTCCGTCTGTCTAATGCTGAGGCGCTGAGGTTTCAGCCGCAGGGGGCCAAAGCATATATAAAGCCATGAGCCTGCCGTCTACAGCCCCAGCATCGAAGACCCACTTCACATTGCATCCTTAGCCTTCATCGTCAGTAGCCCCATCACACCTTCGTAGCTTCTCGCTAGGATAAGACGATACTCATACTGTTTCATTGCAGGAACACCATGTCTCAGACCGCCAAAGGAACAGTCTCGTCCCAGGGCCAAAACCGATTCATCGCCAGATTCGTCATGCCCAATGGCCAAGTGCGCACCTACAACGCCGCCGTCAACCCCCCGATCACCAACATGACGGTTAACACCGCGACGCTGACCTGGAGCGACGACGATCAGTTGGTCGGCGCGGACAGCTACACCGGCACGGTCGGGACTGACCTCAACATTACGCTCGGAAAAGGGCCCACCATCAAGGGGACGCTCCAACAGCCCGTCAATCCCACTCAGGCCATTGTCGGCAATGGCGACTGGGCCATGACGATGTAAGAGAATGTGAGTCATTCCCTGTCAACTCTATGAATGCGTGGGCAAGAGGCTAATATCACTTAGTGACGTGTCATCGGCAGACGGTGTCATGAGCGCGTTGCTGGCGCCATGAAGTAGGCAATACGGTGTGGTGTTAGCGTCTTGATCAAGTTTCCTGAGTCTGTTGTTGCTGTACTCTGTACTGCCCACGGAAATCTAGTTGTACGAATGATGTGTATCATGTGTTCTTCGCCCGACGGTCGGACGCGTTATGCTCGCGTGAATGCAGGTAGCCACCGTCGAGATTCGCGCGTCGGCGGTGTGCGCCGCGCCGCGCGGTAATCGCTCGTTTCTGTGGCAGAGTAGCTGGTATACTGCTTGGTGGTGAGTGCTGCCGGAAGACTTTCCCATTTACACTAAGAGCAGAGTCGAAGCTGCCGTTCGCACGTTTGGGGGACTATTGTGCGACCCGCCGCACAAACCTTCGACGTATGCCACTCACGATCAGGATATTGTCTGCACTCCGAGTTTGAGTATCAGAGCATCGCCGAGAATATCGTCATCCGCGCAGAGTCTGCTGTCAGATGAGCCCTTGGTCTGTCCCCTTTGAGCCTTCTCGATATTTGTCAGTAGATCTGCGACCGTGGCGGAGGAAAATTTGTAGACTTGGCATATAATATCGATCTATGGTCTGCGAGAGTCTCAATTCTGTGGGTTCACGTTATCCTCAATACAGAACTGCTATCAGCTGTCTAGTACTTGCCATGAAGGCTTCTGCCAAAGCATGGAATATAATAACTTGCACGGCGCAATCTAACATCGAATTATCCCCCGCCAGCCCTAGCACGCACGTCGCGCCATCAATAATGCCTCTATGCATGCGTAAACTTCTGCAATAACGTAATGCTTAGGTATGTTCCTGCCCGATAAAGTGTGTCATGTCGAATAACACCGCCAACTTTATCGTCGTGTACACGCTCGACACATTAACGTGCAAATTCGTTCTCAAGGGGATCGTCTTTACTCGCATCGCATCGAGAGCGCTACCCGATCTTCCGTTTACAATTTACAATCATCTACGCGGAATCGGCCCACACCAAGCTGGACGCGTGTCCACATTTGAAGGCACTGTCGGCGGAGCTCTCAGTATCGTCGTTGGCGCTATTATCACAGGCCCCATTAACCTACCTCAGCCTACCTGGTGTGAATACGGCCGTTGCATTTACGGGGAAAATATTTGCTTCTGTTCTGGGACTCTAACACACTTGGTTCTCTCATCCAAGTTCGAGTTCGGATAGGATGGCATCTTGGCCGCCACGCCAGTGTCAGGAGGCAGGCAAGATAGCGCGACGAGTAATCGCCTTGTTAATGGCGCAATAAGAGCTGTGTAAATGATTGATAAGACCCTTTGAACATCTACAAAGGCAATAGGCAAGCATAAAAAGGTGTTGGTTACCAAGACGGACAGGCTACATATACCCCTGACAGTCTGCCTGCGAGCTGAACCATGGGCTCCGCGATGATGAGCGTCATGCTACTTTGAATTTTACGGATTCTCGGGCGATGTAAGTAGACGTACCAGCGCAACCGGTTAGCGTCGTCGTACGCTGGTACTGGTGCCAGATATTCGCTGTGAATACGCAAGCACTGTGTTAAAAGGTAGCTAGGACCACGCACGGAGAAGCTCATCAGCCAGGGCACCAAGGAAATCGATCGTACGACTGCTCAACGACGACAGCTGGGTGTTCCAAAAAGATGGTCGCGGCTAGGGTACAGCTAGATTCAGGGTGTACCTGAAGCAGGCTGTAAGTCTCAGTCGTCGCCGTCAAAGCAAGGTTGTCTCACTTGCCATCGCATTATGCAGTACGTCGGCGCAGACCCGAGCTGAGAGAGACTTCTCATGCAAGCGGAACAGCAACTTAGCCTGGGCATGGCGTCATCGAGCCTCGTCGGACGACGTCGGGCCCCTGACACCCGAGACCCGGTAGACCCCTCACCGTGGTCATAGTAGCACCATCCCGCCGATGTCGCATAGAACTGCTGGTAACTCCGTCGCGTTCGCAGAACCCGCCGGGACAAGATGACACTCAGGCATATTATTGTATTGCAGGGACACTATGCCTACCGGCGTCGCGGGGGCCTTTTTCACCAAACAAACCGGACATTATCAAGCCATAGTATTCGTCGTCGACGAGCACAAGCGCTTTTTTGGCAGCACCAGTGGCATTTATTCTGCCCTTCCCACGTTCAAGGTGAACAGCGCAATGCCGACCTGTGACAACGACAATCAAGTCGCCGGCACTGCGGACAGCTACCACGGCTTCGTCGGAAAACTTGAAGACAAAGGGCCCATCGTTACCGGGACGTTCGAGGAAGCCGTAGTTCTATCCAGTAACATTAGCGGTAGAGGCTCCTGGAACATGAGACCGCCCGGGCCAGTAAGTCTTAATCCTCCCAATCCATGAATGTGCACACGGAAGCCTGACATACCTCAGTGATTTGTCATTAGTAGGAATATCTTGTACGCAGCGCTAGTATCATGAGGAGGGCGAGATGGCATGGCGTCGATGACACGGTCGTGAGTCATCTCAAAGCCTCGTGCTCTTTTTATTTTCACCTTGCGTTGCACACAGAATTCTGGTCATATAAATGTGCTTCTAAGTGCTATTTGTGACTATTTACTCGACGCGATCATGCAAACGAGAGTCCAGGCAGCCGCTATCGAATCTTTTGTGCGCCGGCGGCGCGGCCTGTACGGTGACTGCCCGCATCTGTCGCACCGCGCTCAAAATAATACCCTGCCGATGTGAAGAAACGCTGAACGACATCAGGATTGGTAGCTGTCAGAGCCAGTCAACAGATCTTGGTCGTCATAGCTCAGTGTCGCGTCGTTGGTCGTGAATTCAAGTTAGCTATTGAGGCTGCTATTGAGGGACTTGAAGCGAGTGTTTCTGTGGGATACTGACAGATTCTTGGACAACCGTGATTGTGGCATACCTGCAACACAGCAAAGCCCGCGGGTATTAGCTCTCCCTGATGGGTTATGCAGATGTAGACATGTAGTTCGATTACTCACGATGTGGTTTTGTTACAATGGCTATAAACGCAATGCGAAGGGATCTGCAATGTCGAGATGTAAGAAGGGTAGCATTTAGGGCTTTACAAATGCTTTCTGCCTCACAGTTCGGGCCTCCAACGTATCGGCAAATAGCAAAGGCATGACCATGTCAGGTACGACGCAGACTCTCCACACAGAAACTCTCACCACGCATTACATATCGCATCGAGGGCGGTCGGTGGACTTCCATCTGCCAAAGCATGGCCAAGGTTCAGAGGCGGCACTGCAGAATTGAAAAGTATCGCATGCGGAGCTGACGAACAGAACCAGTGACTCGCGACAATGGTCCGCAAGCGTCGCCGAACCTGATGAAGATGAGGAGTATTACGAGACTGGGGCGCATAAGGACTTGAACTGGACCAGGGTCAGGCCAAACTTGACACATTCTGAGAATGACTGACTGCGCAGAATAGCCGTGAGGTGTCGAATGAACCGGCTAGCCATCGGCTGACTGGGATTCCGTGACATCGCGAATCACCTTGGTATGGCATGGTAAGTATTTGGATATGTTGCGCGTACGCGTTCAGTGCTATTCTCCGCCTGGAGTGAGGCAGTGTTGTGTGGAGAATCTGCGGCGTGCAACATTGAACGCGAAGGAGTAGTCGCAGTCGCTTGGCGCCCGACATCAATTTCGTGATCTGGATTGCCAGCGCCAGAATCCGTGCTCGAATTACCTAAGCAACTCTGCCGCTTCAGGGTCCCGTCCTCCTTCCATCCTGCAGAGACAGATGCAGGCGATACCTCGCGTATGCAATCGACCTGGATGGAGCCTCAGTGCTCCGAACCGTTTCGCAATCCTCCTGGTGTGTTCGCTGGCTGCCTGCTTTACGCAACGACGAACGCCGCTGTTCGGATCCTCAGGTTGCACGTTTGCCACACAATCAGAAGGCCGACACAGCTCTCCCCTTGTCCTGCATTAATGGAAAGCACACTTCCGCAAAAGGGAGTCACGGTGGACATGGGGTTCGGCGCTCAAGCGTACAAGGCGAGTCGAGACTCTGGGTAGCGGACACTCGCAAGTCGCCGCCATTGACAGCGATTCGCACGAGGCGGCGGCCAGCTGACGCTGCGATGACCAGGTGCTGAATGGAACTCACGGAGATTGGTCCCCTCCTGACTGATTCGCTGGTTCCTTGGAACTTAGAGGCAGGGAGAACTCAGGCACGTCCAGGATTGAGGGAACTGTGTGTAACTCACCTGCTGCGAGCACTCGACCCCCACGCATGGCGAGTGCCCTCTCCACCTGCGCTCTGTCAGATCTGGGGTTCATACCGCAGACCTCAGATCTTCAAATCCAGTGTGGGGATACGGTGAAGATGCCAGAGAATGTTCGGCGAGAGTATCGATACGGCGGGTCTACAGCGCGCACCCGATACGGGCGTGCCACTCATTGTCTGTCTAATGCTGAGGCGCTGAGGCTTCAGCCGCAAGGGACCAAAGCGTATATAAAGTCATGTGCCAGCCGTCTACAGCCCCAGCATCGAAGACCCACTCGCATTGCATCCTTAGCCTTCAAATCAGTACTACCTTGTCAGTATCATTTTTGCACCCTCGCAACTTCCCGCCAGGATGAGACGATACTCATACTGTTCCATTATAGGTACACCATGTCTCAGACCGCCAAAGGAACTGTCACGTCCCAGGGCCCGAACCGATTCCTGGCCAGATTTAATATGCCTAATGGCCAAGTGCGCAGCTTCAACGCCTCCGTCAATCCCCCGACTACCACCATAGTCATCAACACCGCGACGCTGACCTGGAGCGACGAGGACGACTTGGTCGGCGCGGACAGCTACACCGGCACGGTGGGGACTAACCTCGATATCGCCCTCGGCAAAGGGCCCAAGATCACGGGGTCGCTCCAGCAGCCCGTCGATCCCACTACGGCCATCGTCGGCAATGGCGACTGGGCCATGACAATGTAAGAGAACGTGAGTCTTTCCTTGCCAGTTCTCTAGGTGCGCAGACGAGAGGCTAATATCACTTAGTGATGTGTCATCGGCAGGACAGCGCCCCGAGCGCGTTGCTGGCGCCATGAGATAGGCAAGATGGTGTGTGGTATTAGCATCGTGATCAAGTTTCCTGAGTCCGTTGTAGTTTTACTCTGTATCGACCACGGAAATTCAGTCGTACGAATGATGTGTATCATGTGTTATTGGTGACTCTTCGCCCAACGGTCCGACGCGTCAAGTTCACGTGACTGCGTGTCGCGACCGTCAAAACCCGCGCGTTGGTAGTGTGCGCCGCGCGGTCATCGCTCGTATTTGTGAGGTGGCTGGTATATCACTTAGTGGTGAATGCCTGCCGGCTGATTTTTCTCGTCGCGGTCAAGAGCTGAGTAGCGCCGAAGCCGCCTATCGCACATATTTGGGGGTAATTCTGCAACCATGATGGAGGATCCTTTGCAGACTTAGCGCATACAGTATTTGTATAATACCGATGAATGGTCTGCGAGAGTTTCAATGTTGTGGATTCACGTTATCCTCAATACAGACCCGCCGTCAGCTGTCTGCCTGTCACAATGACCGCTGCATGCGCATCTTTGAAGGCACCGTTGGTGGAACTGTTGATGGGCAGGTAAGATGGTGCGGTGCTTTGTGCTGCGACCAAGTCGTCTGAAGCTGAAGCTCCTGTACTCGTGCCACTTGGATCTCTGACATGCAAATCCGAACATGAAGCTCATTATTGGTGACACGCTCGACTCTCAGCAGTTAGTCGCGAACAGAATAACGGGATGTTTACAAGGCCTGTGAGGCGACTGGGCCGCCGGTGTCAGAAAGCACAACTATCGTCCGTCAAGCCGCATCTCTCCCAGCCTAGAAAAACAGGGGCAGCCTCTTTCAGTGTACGCATCGTGTTGTCGAATCTAGCTCGACAAGGCTCACAGCCATCGTACTAGAGACGATCCTTGATGCGAGGAACTAGTACAACATAGTCTTACCTAGAGAGCTAGGTGTCCGCAAAGCAAAAGTGAGCTCACAGCCCGCTATGCAGGTCGGTAAGCCTGCGGGCAACGACGAGACGCCATGGAGAGAGGTACCCAGCTAGTCCATCAGGAAAACGTCCGACTGTTGGAGGCTTCTTGCATTTGGTAACTGCCCGAGCTCGCCTTGGGCGATGCTGGGACCTATCTTGGGGGTGTTGATCAACATTATCAAGGTACCCAAGGCACGTCTGTCCAAACTCAAGGTGCGTAAGCAACATCAAGACGATTGGACATGTCGAAGAAATATAACATGTTCTGCGGGGTGATAGGACTTCACGGGCGGTGCGCCCGAAAGTTGAGATTGGGGAGAAGCGTAACAGATGCTAACAATCGTCTTGTTAATGGCGCATCAAGAATTGCGTATAATGGCTGGTCAGACCGTGGAAGCGTCTTTCAAGGCAATACGTAGGCGGACCTAACAAGACGCTGGTTGCCGGGACGGGCGAGCCGCCAGGAGGCACCTGGTCTGCAAACCAAATTCCTCCGAGTCGGGGAGATTAGCGACACTGTCGAAGGAATCCTTGTTTGAGATTATCGAGCTGACATCTAAAATTGAGTAAATGCAGCCAACAAGCTCACATGTCAGCCCATATGAACGTGCATGCTCCAGCCTGAGGCCCGCTCGCATTTACGAGAGCTACAGAAACTCTTGACAGTCTACTTGCGAGCCGGACCATGGGCTCCGTGATGATGAGCATCATGCTACTTTAAGGACTCTCGAGCGTTGCAAGTAAATGCGCCAGTGCAACGGATTAGCATCGTCGTGCGTCGGCACAGCCTGAGGTGTCAGACGGGTGCCGCGAATATGCAAGCACTGTGCTGGGAGGCAGCCAGGACCACGCACATCCGTCAGCGCGGAAATCGAGCGACTGCTCCACGCGGAAGGAGAGATGTAGGAATCCCTGGGCATGACGTCATCGAGCCTCTGGTCGGACGTCGTCGGGCCCCTGACACCCAAGACCCAGTGGACCTCTCACCGTGGTCGCTGCTCATAGTAGCACAATCCCGCCGACGTCGCACATCGGTAGCAACCCCGTCGCATTCTCACAATCCGCTGAGACAAGGTAACACTCGTAAATATCATTGCATTGCAGGAGCATCATACCTACCGTCACGGGGATAGTTGTTTCCGCCGAACCAAACAGATTGCAAGCCACCTTCGTCGTCGATGGGGCACAAGCGGTTTTTCAGCGGCACCAATAATATTGATCCTGCCCTCCCCACTTTCAAGGTAAGCAATGCAACGTTGACCTACGACAACGACAATTAAGTCGCTGGCACTGCGGACAGCTATCACGGCTTCGTCGGAAAAGACCTCAATCTCACCTTCGACAAGGGGCCTGCCGTTACCGGGATGCTCGAGGAAGCTGTAGTCCCATCCAGTAACATCAGTGGCAGCGGCTCCTGGAACATGATACCGCCCGGGCCAGTAAGTCTTAATCCTCCCAATCCATGAACGCACACACGGAAGCCTGACATACCCCAGTGATTTGTCATTAATAGGAATATCTTGTGCGCGATGCTGGTGCCATGAGGAGGGCGAGATGGCATAGTGTCGATGACACGGTCGTGAGTCATCTCAAAACCTCGTACTCTGTTTTTCACCTTGCGCTGCACACAAAAGTCTAGTCATACGAATATGTTTCATGAGTGTTATTTCAACGTATTTGTGGCTGTTTACTCGACGCGATCATGCAAATGAGAGTCCAGGCAGCCGCTATTGAATCTTTTGTGCGCCGGCGGCGCGACCAGTACGGCGACTGCCTGCATCTGTCTCACTGCGCTCAAAGTAACACCCTGCTAATGTGAAGGAACGCTGAACGGCATCAGGATCCTGTGTGAACATTCATGAAATCGGTAGATTGAAACTCGAGACTCACCTCCTAGCTCCAGAGCCAGGTTCCACCACCATTGAAGTCAGGAAGGGTTGAAGGGCTGCTCGAGCTTCCCGGTAATGACGAATCCTTGTTCGAAATTGAACTTGATTTCAGTTTTGACCGTGCCGTATAGCTGTCAGAGCCAGTCAACAGATAGTCGTCGTCACAGCTCAACGCTACGCTGTCGGTTGTGAATTCAAGGTTACTATCGAGGCTGCTATTGAGAGAGCCGTTGAAAGTATGCTCGACGCCACCGATGACGAACTTGGCTTGAAGCGAGTGTTTCTAGGGGGTACCGACAGAACCTTGGGCGACCTCGGACATGGTGCACCTGCAACGCAACAATACCTGTGAAGATTAGCTCACCTCGGCAGGCCGCGCAAATGTGGTTCGATTACTTACGATGCGGTTTCGTTACAATAGCTTTATGTAAACACAATGCGAATGTTTGTGTAAAGTCGGGACGCAAGCTTGGTAACGCCCGCGGACCCTTGCCGCGAGTTATTGGTTCTGTTCATCAACTCTGCATGCGATACCTTCCAGTCTCGCAGAATGTCTCCCCATGCTCCGTTTCTGGGTGAGTTCGAACGCTCTATTGTGATGTCGCCTCCGAACCTTGGCCATGCTTTTGGCAGATGGACGTCCGCCGACCGCCTTTGATGCGATATATAATGCTTGGTGAGAGTTCTGTGTGGAGATTACACGTCGTACCTGACGTGGGCATGCTGTTTGCTATTTGTCGATGTGCTGGAGCCCCTGATTGTGAGGCAGGAAGCGTATGACACGCCAGACGCCGCCATTCTTGATGGAGATGAGAGATATTACGAGACTGTGGCGCATAAGGACCAGGGTCAGGCCAAACTTGACACATTCTGAGAATGACTGACTGCGCAGAATAGCCGTGAGGTGTCGAATGAACCGGCTAGCCATCGGCTGACTGGGATTCCGTGACATCGCGAACCACCTTGATATGACATGGCCAGTATTTGGATATGTTGCGCGTACGTGTTCAGCGCTGTTCTCCACCTGGAGCGAGGCAGTGCTGTGTGGAGAGTTTGCGGCGTGCAGCATTGAACGCGAAGGAGTAGGTCGCAGTCCCTTGGCGCCCGACATCAATTCCGTGATCTCGATTGATGCCAGAATTCGTGCTCGAATTACCTAAGCAACTCTGCCGCTTCAGGGTCCCGTCCTCCTTCCATCTTGCAGAGACAGATGCAGGTAGTCTCCCGATGCCTCGCGTATGCAACCGACGTGGCTGGAGCCTCAATGCTCCGAACCGTTTCACAATTCTTCTGGTGTGTTCGCTGGCTGCCTGCTTTACGCAACAATGGACGCCGCTATTCGGATCCTCAGATTGCACGTTCTGCCACACAATCAGAAGGCCGACACAGCTCTCCCCTTGTCCTGCATTAATAGCAAGCACACTTCCGCAAAAGGGAGTCACGGTGGACATGGGGGTTCGGCGCTCAAGCGCACGGGGTGAGTCGGGACTTTGGGTAGCGGACACTCGTAAGTCGCCGCCATCGACAGCGACTCGCACGGGGCGGCGGCCAGCTGATACTGCGATGATCAGCTGTTGAATGGAACTCACGGAGGTTGGCACCCTCCTGGCTGACTCGTCGGTTCTCAGGAGCCTAACAAGCGAACCCAGGCACATGCAGGATTGAGGGGACTGTGTGCACTCGACCCCACACATAGCGATTGCCCTCCCCACCTGCACGCTGACAGATCTGGGGTTCATACCCCAGGCCTCGGTGTGAGGATGCGGTAGAGGTGCCGGAGAATGTTCGGCGAGAGTATCGGTGCGGTCGGTCTACAGCGCACCCGACACCAGCGTGCCACTCGCCGTCTGTCTAACGCTGAGGCGCTGAGGCTTCAGCCGCAAGGGACCAAAGCATATATAAAGTCATAGGCCAGCCGTCTACAGCCTCAGCATCGAAGACCCACTCGCATTGCATCCCTAGCCTTCAACTCAGTACCACATCGTCAGTAGTGCTCTCACATCCTCGTAGCTTCCTGCCGGGACGAGACGATACTCATACTGTTTCATTGCAGGAACACCATGTCCCAGACCGCCAAAGGAACAGTCTCGTCCCAGGGCCAAAACCGATTCATCGCCAGATTCGTTATGCCCAATGGCCAAGTGCGCACCTACAACGCCTCCGTCAATCCTCCCATTACCAACATGACAATCAACACCGCGACGCTGACCTGGAGCGACGACGATCAGTTGGTCGGCGCGGACAGCTACGAGGGCACGGTCGGGACTGACCTCAACATCACGCTCGGCAAAGGGCCCACCATCAAGGGGACGCTCCAACAGCCCGTCAACCCCACTCAGGCCATTGTCGGCAATGGCGACTGGGCCATGACGATGTAAGAGAATGTGAGTCATTCCCTGTCAACTCTATGAATGCGCGGACAAGAGGCTAATATCACTTAGTGACGTGTCATCGGCAGACGGTGTCATGAGCGCGTTGCTGGCGCTATGAAATAGGCATCACGGTGTGGTGTTAGCGTCGTGATCAAGTTTCCTGAGTCCGTTGTTGCTGTACTCTGTATTGCCCACGGAAATCTAGTTGTACGAATGATGTGTATCATGTGTTCTTCGCCCGACGGTCGGACGTGTGATGCTCGCGTGAGTGCAGGTAGCCACCGTCGAGATTCGCGCGTCGGCGGTGTGCGCCGCGTCGCGCGGTAATCGCTCGTTTCTGTGGCGGAGTAGCTGATATATTGCTTAGCGGTGAACGCTGCCGGCGAACGTTTCTCATCGCGGTCAAGAGCAGCGTCGAGGTTGTCGGTCGCGCTGTGTACTTGAGGGGCTATTCACAGCCTGAATATTGCCCGCACTCCGAGCTCGATTACCAAAGACGGGTGAGCTGGCAACTACCTGGATACGTCTCATCTGTTAAGCAAATCGATTTCCTCGGAAGGACTTAGCTACACACCGTCGAAGGAGTTTTTGTGTAGGATCGTCGAGCTGACAATAAAGCTTGGGTAAATCCGACCATGAAGCTTAACTGTCAAGCCATACGTGCGTCCATGCTCCCTCCACTCATCTGCCACCCGACAATTGCAAGAGCTACAAAAACCCTTGGCAGTCTGAGCTGCGCGATGAATACCGTGAGAATTTTACAGCCTCTGTACGATGGTTGGCTATCGTCATACGCTTGTATGGGCACCAGATGGACGTCATGGATGGGCCAGCACCGTACTAGAAGGCGGTCAAGACCACGCACGTCCATCGGTCAAGGCACCACGGAGAGCGAGCTGGATGATGCTCCAGAGAGATGCCCGGCGGCTGTAGGTCTCAGTAGTTGCCGTCAAAGCGTGCGTATCCATTTGCAGGCCTGAGGTGCGTAGTGCGTTCCCGCGCAAGTGGAACGCAGCCTAGGGAATACCTGAGCATGACGTCATCGAGCCTGGCACCCGAGACCCAGTGGACCCTTCACCGTGGTCGCTGCCAACCCTGCGTCACTAGCTGCGTCTGACTTGCACCATTTCTTAAGGCTTCTCTGTAGTATTTCAGCACCATTTGGAGCGGTCATCTTCGCCGTCCTTGTCATTTCCCACGTTTTACTCGCGGCTGAAGTCCATCATATTTGCTCTAGCCTGCAAATCAACACAGCACAGTTCCGTTATCAGAGTCGACTGTAAAGAACATGCAGCCCGCGCTGGGAGTGTAATGTCCACGACGTTTGTGTGTCGCGTCGTGACTTTCTATTCGAACGACAGGAGAGGACATGCTCGTAATCGGTAGGCGCAGTGGCGTTGCTCGCGCTGGAATGGGATGCGCTTGAAGACGAGACGACTGAGAACGACGATATAGACGCAGATACGGACGAGTATGAGAAGCTTCTCCAAGTCGACAAGCTTGTGCATGCCTGGTGGACTGATATGGCGAGAGCAGGGGCATGATGAACGTTGCGCACGTCTTAACGTTACGCTGGCTGGAAGCGGCAGTAGCGAGACGACGTTGTCGATGTGGTGTATCCTGAGCAAATGCTCCAGTTATCTATGTAACAGAAGGTCACCATTTCAGGTGCGGAGTTGCTGCCGCCTTCCGAAGAAGAGAAGCACCGTGACATGACCAATGTGAGCATGCAGAAATATGCGCGAGAGTGGATGACCACGGCAATTTGAAAGGTAGGAACACGTACCTCATTGGTGGTCTCCGCTCGAGTGCTCTTATTCGGGGGGACACCACGACCTGTTGGCTGCATCCTGGGCCAGGGGGCCGATTCGTAGCGCCTCACGCAAGTACTCGCGAATCGCGAGCGTGCGCGTAAGCGACGCACTGCCAGAGGCTCGTTGGAGTACACAGCACAGCAATATATTGATGCACCGGTGTGAGTATAATTTGCGCAGTACGAGTAGATAGACGCAAAACACACTAGCTGCTTTCCCAATAGAAGCCTCCGCAGGCGACCGACCCAAGGTCTCAGGAGAACGCATGCAGAGGCGCGTATTCTGGATAATATGGCCGGCTTGAGAAGTAGCCCTTATTTATCGTATCTTCTATGTCTCATGGCGAAGATGGAGATGTAGTGGGAAGAGACGGCCAGTGGCGTGAAGAGGAGAATATGACGCTTCGGGTGACAGACGGTAGGCGCTTCACTGCGATGAAGCCGCATGCGGTAAGCACGTGGCAGGCGGCGGGGGGCTCATCCCGGGACTTACGTGAGACATGGACAAGCCGCAGAGGGCAGAGCCGCGCAGATATGAGGCGTGTACCCGCTGATAGCTGACGAGATGACCGGGCGGGGAGTGCACTGCGTTTACAGTGCCCGTGATAGATATGCTGGAGAACTGTCGTGTGCACTCTGCAAAGTGCTACTCGTTGCCTCAAATCTGGTGGCTTTGTTGTAGTCGACACAAAATATGGCAGCGGGTATAAACTTAGCAGGTAATTGACGTTGACAGAATCTCCCGTCGCCGATGGGGGTCAGGACGAGGTTCAAAAGGTACGCGTAGCTGATAGGAAGCAGTAGGCTGGCAGCATTGTTCATAGAATAATGAGGGATGGACGCTGTCTAGGTTGTTCCACACAGCGGCGGGCGAAGAGTCGTCGCGTCGTAAGTAGTGTTGCCGCGGATGAGCTATGGATTATTCCGGATTGAAAAGTCGAGCTATCCGCATGTGGCGGATGAGACCGAGCTAAGCTCGAGGCGATCCGACATGCGCGCGAAAGCTGACCAAGCCTGCGCGCCTTACTCCATTTAGCAAACGCTCACAGCTGCAGTAAATCCAGAGACGTTGTCCTGTTGTATACGTCATGTAGTGTTAAGCTTCGGTATCTGCAATCATTCTATCTAATTCATCTGCACGACCTTGAGACAATAGCGTGTCAATCTGCTCTGTTGAGATGGCGGGCTCGAGCTCGCTCTCACTAGCTAACCTGCCCAGCGAGAAGTTAAGCTTTTCGCCGCGCTGCTGTAAATAGAGATATTTCAGAATCTGAAGTCTTTCCATCAAATCAGCTGACATATTCGTCCTCCGCAATGTATCAGTCTCCTTGCTAGAGGAGAAAACCCGTTCGCAAGGCACAGCTGAGGCTTGTGCCAGAAGGATGTCTAGTGCGACACGATACATGAGAGGGAAGCGGTGCTGATTATTCTGACATGCTATGAGAATCATAATACATGCCTGCAGAAATGGTGTGAATACATACCTGCCAGCTGCGACACATGTCAAAGTCATCAAACTCGGCCTCGGGAAGCGTTGGCTCCTTTTCATAGCGGCTTGCCTCTTCATCGACCACACGGGCGTGTTCAGCTTAAAGAAGACGGGCATCTACAGGCTCTGTTGTATCTTCTGTGCTCGTAGCAGTTGTCGGCGCTCAGTCGCTGCCTAAGAGGGAAGCGCGGTTTGAGGCTCCAAGTCTTGTCGACTCAGTAGAGAGCTCTCGGAGAAGCGCACGAACACGTCCAGCACCATTGACCAGCAATCGAGATGCAGGAGTCTGAAGAGCAGGGGTAAAATGGGTGCTATTTGCCAAAGGCGAGCCGGTATGCAGCACTCTCCGGTGTTCAAGCATCTGTAGATAGCCATCCGTCGCATTGAGCAGCCTATCAAGAGGAACAAAATCAACTTACTGCTTCTTGGAGCCAGCGGCGAGCATCTGCTGCTTCTTCGGCTGTCCAGTACTTATCTATCCACGTGAATTTGTATTCCAGATGAAGAACTATGATGAAATAATTAGCATAGCCAAGGAGCAAGGTCCAGAAGGGAGAGCCGAGAGATACTCACTCATGGCGAGAGCGTATGCTTTGCTCCTGCGCGCCCGACTAAGGTACTTCCGGAGGCGTCCCAAAGAGGCGTTGATAGCATTTTCGAGCATAGGAAGGCGACCGCGCAACATGCGCAGCAGCTCCATGAGACTCTTGTACATGGGGATCGACAGCGGAAGGGTTGGAGTCTTGTTGGACGAAAGGAGCTCCTGTACGCAGTGAAATACATACAGAAACTCACGGATATCAGCTAAGACGCGCAACTCCATCTCGTCCAGCGCGTGTTTGCGAATATCCTTCTGCTTCTGAGCATTTAGGAGTGCGTCAATTGCCTGCACAAATTTAAGTAAGTATCAGTATGGTGCACTCAATTAGATCGCAAACCAAGATGTATTACAGACCTCGTACAGCTCAAGAAGACGATCTATCATCATGAATAGAGCGGACCAGCGTGTGTCAACGTCCCGAAGCAGTTCCTTCGGTTTAGCCGGCTCCTGCGAAGATTCCGGCTCGTTCTGACCCTCTAATTCCAGCTGCTTAGATTCCATCGTCAGAATAATTGTCTGCCGTAGATCTCTGCGGCGTGCCCAGGAGATTCTGCAAGAGCGAACGAGTGTGCGGCAACGTGCAACCGGATCTGGTGATGTGCGGGCCCGGCTTGGGCTCAAAGCCCGGGCTTGGGCTTGTGGCGACGTCGAGCCGAGCCCTGAGCCCGAGCCGAGCCTGAGCCCGGCCCAAGCCGTGGGCTTAAGCCCGGGCTTGCCAAGCTTAGGATAAGTATTTGTATGCTACAAAAGTGAGCATATTTGCATGTGATAGGCTACTATTGCATGTACTCACCGTACTTCAGCCTCCAGAGGGCATGCGACCGCGCTACGAGCCATGTTATGACAAGGTTCGCGAAGGGGCGCCTACGGAGAACGCCAGGCGGCGGCGCACAATCGCGCTTAGTCACACTAGCAGGGATCGCCTCGTCTGGTAAGTCAACGTTTTGTCTCATATGCATATATAAAGTCGTTCTTACCATGTTTTGAGCCCAGGGAACGGCAACACATTTGGTGCACCCAAGCCTGGGCTTTCGGGCCGGGCTCAGGCTTGACTTCATCTCAAGCCCAGGCCTGGCTTTGGTCAGGCTTTTTT